ACAAGCAAACTTGCAGCATTGGTCTATATGAACTATATCGCATAACCCAACTGTACCCAAGAGTAAGTAATGTGTGAAAATAGTCTTTAGGAATTATTGATGTGATTTAGGATTTCGCCTCCTGCATGGCAAGCCATTGATTTCTCAGCATGAATCTTCTGTTTCTGAAGTTCGTAAAACTTATTTCAGGTTGATATATTCTCTCAACTCCAAAATGCTAGCGAGGCTTTCCGGACATATATTAGAGATGGTTTGGCGCAGGTCAGTATCATCATTACCACCGGCAAAATGTTCTTGCTGGCACACATTTAATGATTCCTGAGAAAGTAAATTAGGTTTCATTGCCACAGAAATAAATTACCATGTTCTTTGTCACAGATGGAGAAGAATGCCGCAGCTGGAAGGACGCCTTCAAGTTTGCCAATGCCAACTCCTCCCCCAGCTACTCTAAATGCTTCTTCACCTGAATTTGCACCCCTGTCCCCTGTACACACGAACTCCTTGGTTGATTCGAAATCATTAAATGTGAAATCCGAACCAACTAGCTTTAATCTACCGCCATCATATACTGAAGAATACAGGCTGAATAATGCCAGAGGTCTCACCGAAAACTCATTGGTAGACCAAAGGAATGAGAGATATATTGGAGGTAATTGTATCAATGTTTTTACCTTTTTTCTTTTCCTGCACCTTTGATTCTTTTTGTTCTGTTATTGACCATAATGACCTTACACTAGAACTCATCTTGGAAACTACAGTGACCAACGGAACCTTAGATGCAATTAGAGAGAGAATGAAGAGCATGCAGTTGGCCGCAGCTGCTGGGAACCCGGATCAAGAAACCAGGCCATTAATGTATGCGAATGACAACATAAACCAGAGCCTCTCTGGTCAGATTCCTCGTGCATCAGAGAACCCACTCCAGAGTGCGGTTCACCCCATGGATGAGAGGGCATTATCCGGACTTCAAGCCCGTATGGAGAGACTAAAAAGTGGGACAATCGAACCCCTTTAAACGGAAGAGTTAACGCATATAGGAAGCCGATTACTTGTCATGCTCTGTTTTCTAGTAAATGGGCTGGGAGGTGGTGCTGTGCAAGTTCAGTTGCGGCTTCAGTGCCGGCATCCCATTGCAACGTACGATGTTGTGGCGGAGTTTTGGGAAGGTATGTGTGTCTAGCAATTTGGCATTTGTATATTGTAGAACAAAGCTTTTGACCGGGGAAATCGTAGTCGCGCCGCTTTCTTAGATCCTGAAATTTTTGGCCGAGGTTTTGTTTTATAGGGGTTGTAGCACCGTCTGCTGTTGGGCTTAATTTTTTCACTACAATTGTTTGGCAATTTGGCGTTGTATATTAATGCGTCAGAAGCATTAAGTCCTCGACAGCTACGACACCTTCCTTTTTATTTAATACTACAAAGTGCATAAAACTTTGCTTATTCCATTTCGATTTTGATGTTTGTTTCAAGTACAACGTATTTTTTTTTTATAGTATCTTTTCAAGTTTTTTTAGGTCTTCCTTTACATCATTTGCCCTGAGTCATCTATAGGTCTTTGGTTTATGTATGTAAAATATCTTAATAAAAAATAATAACTGGAAACAAAATCGATTTCTAGGTGTCGAAAATCTTTGTGCTGTTCTACATTAATATTATAAATATGTAGTGCGGTGATAATGACTTGAAAATAGGCTTATCAAGATTTTGCAAAAATTTGCAAAACCGATTGAATACGTGGATTATAGTTGACCCCCATTTTTTGTTAAAAATGAAAATTTTTATTTTAACGATATAGTTTTTGTGAGCAATAAGGAAAATTTTATAAGGCATTTCAAAGCGAATTTATGATTTATTGAAGAACAAATGTTTAATTAGTAGAATATTTAAGTTGAAAACTACTAAAATAAGTGAAAAATATAGTAGTGAAAACAAGAAGATTGAGCGATAATATATTTATGAATTTGCAAAACTGACTAACAACCGTGAGTGTAAACCCACACTTTTTGTCAAAAATACAAATTTTTTATTTTCGCGAAATATTTCATGTGAACATTAAGGAAAACTTTATAAAGCATTTGGAAGCGGATTTACAATTTATTTACCAACAAATGTATGTTTAGTAGAATATTTAAGTCAAAACTAAAAAAAAAGTGAAAAATATATCAATGAGGCCCAGAACATTGTCAAATGGGGGTTCCACATTAAGAATATCAACGGAAAGTCTTACCTTAATTTTTCAAAACTTCACAATGAGGCGAAGATGAAAATAAATGGATTGAACTTTTGACACACCCCGATCCTAGAATCAAGGCGTGCTGGCCGTCACGTGATTGTGACGTAACCAAAAGTGCGACGCGGAAGCAAAAGATAAGAGAAATACGAATAAACAAAAACCAAATACTAGTAATAATATCCAACTAGCATGCGAGAGTAAGTTTAAGTGTAAAACACACAAATTCAGAGTATAAATACTAGGTGCAGTCAAGTAGGACCATAACTAAGTTACAACACCCGCAGGTGAGTCCTGCATTTATGTAGTCTGTCAGTACGCCGTGGGGATCCTCGTGGGCCACCAACGCTGCTATCTAGAACCTGGAGGGGCGCAAAACAAAATTGAGTGGGTCAGTAAAACCAAAGTTTTCCAAAACATTTCATTTAAAACGTTTCTACCCCTCACTGTAAAACCTGTATACTTTCCCAGAAAATAACATAATAGCATAATATTTGTTCAAATCTCTCAAAACATCAATCTTTATCAAAATCCAGCAAGTATGCCATGCTATAAATGTCAATGACAGAATATGGATGCATCAATATAACAGGTGACATAATGAATCAACCGGAGACCCTGCAGTTGGTCCTGTACGGTTAATTCTATAGCTCAATATCCAACCCAGCCGGAGTCACCACGGTGACCTGTACGGCGCTACTCTGCACATAAGTCGGAACTACCTGAAGTAGTCTGTACGACAAGAAAGGTGTAAGAATACGCTCTAGTGCTTCTCTCATCAATCATCTGCACGAATAATCTAAGGTCACCTACCAGTCGGAACCACCTCTAGTGATCTGTACGACTAGTATGTCGGAACCCTCTCATGGTCTGTACGACATGCACCTACTTGGATCCAAGGTGAGCGTGCGGTGCGGTGAATACTATAAGCACTAACACCAGGGTGCAAGTTATCAGCTCTCAACATAATTCACATTATCAACAATTCACATGATTAACATAAACTCACCTGATACTCACCTGTGCGTCCACAGCACCAATTCACATATATATGCATCAAATACTAATTCATATAATTCATAATATGCATGCATGGCATTTGAAAAACATACTTTCATTTAAATTCAATTTCTGGGAAAATCAATAGTATATAGGTAAATACAGAAAATAACTGGCCACTCACTGATAAGTCGAAGGGTCGTAACCCCCGTGACGTCCCTGAATGCGCTCGTCCTCGGGATAGGTATCACCTATATGCGAAACAACTAAAATAACGTTATTTAAATCACAAAACCGACAATTCGCAATAACTTCTCATACGGTGCTCAATTTGGGTATATGAATATACCATAGTGACCTACTTGACGTCACGAACGTCGAGGTATTTTTAGAAAAAAAATTTAAGGCCGCACGCGCCCCCACGCGCCGGGATGGGCACGGGTCCACGCGCATCACCCCTAACCTCTAGTCGCCGGACTGGTTCGCCGGTCGCCGGAAAACTGGAGATTTTTTAATCTCCTTGTTCTCCGTCATTTCTCAACCATTTTTCATGTATTTTATATCAAAATGAAGCCCTAAGCATGTAGATTCACGTTACACTACTTTAAGGCTCTAAAAACTACGAAATCTCACCGGAGAAATTCCAAGAAAACCGGCAAACTTCGAACTCAACGATCCCGAAGTCCAAAACCTTCAAACTAAGTACTCCGAGCTTCCTTAAGACCTCACTAAGCTCACTATAAGCTTAGAATTCCCTGAAAATCAACACATCATGAATGCATGAACAATACTCAAATCGGACCTCGGGTTTTCAACGTGATTTCTAAGGTTTCCCGTTCTAAAACTAGTACCAAACGACTCAGGAGGTTGAAAGGATGAAGAATCTTACCTTTTTGGCGTCGATCCGTGAAGGTTCGAGGGTTTGGTGCTTTGTCCGTACGTTTTCGAGAGGGAGAGAGTGAGACTGAAACGGAAAGGAGAGAGAGAGAGAGCACGGGGGAATGAGAGAGAGAGGTGTCCCGTGTGTGTGTGGTCCATTCCAAAACAAGTCCAACTTCATTCCCTAACCACAAAAATTTACAACCCAAATTTTTAATCCAACTTAAATAATTTTCCAAAGCTTATGAAATATGTATTTAGACCAATAATGTGTCACACACACATACCTTAGTAACCGCTAAGGGTAATCCCGTCATTTCACGTCCTCGATAAATAAAATCCCGGGACGGGCTGTGACAACTTTGATTTATGTACAAATTAGACAAAACCTACTGATAACCGTGAGTTTTAATCCACGTTTTTTTTGTAAAAAAATGCAAGTTTTTAATTTTCTGGAAATATTTTCCGCGAGTATTAAGGAAAAATTTACAATGTTTTCGGAAACAGATTTACAATTTATTAAGCAACAACTGTATATTTAGTCAAGTATTTAAGCCGAGAAGTAAAAAAAATAGAGATGTTAAAATGCGTATTAGTGTGTATTTTTTTATTTTTTTTAAATTAGAAATGTTAAAATCACCTGTAGATGAGCCTTAAACAATAAATAACAAAATTTTGTTTCGTTAAATAATCTTTCACCCTCTTTTAGCTAACAAAGAAGGTTCTATTAATATGTAATTTAGACTTAGATAAAAGAAAAAAAAAATTCAAATATCCTTAAATTTAGATTTTAAATCGTTGATCACATGTGTTTAAATACGAATTCTAATTGATTTTGCACGAAAAAATATATTTTGAAGAACATGAACATGATAGTTTTTGTAGTGGTAAGAGAAATAAAAAGAAAAATTAACAAAAATGTCCAAAACGATTTAAATTGTTGGGGTGCCAGACTAGTGCCTATCGTCTTTTAGAACCTATCCCTTGAAGGTATGTATTACACCGGAAAGCAATTTACATGCCACATGATTGTGTCTGCCACCAAATCTTCCAGGCATCCCCAACCCCTCCAGCACTCTTTCCATGCTGCCCGATTGTGTCAGCCACCAAATAACCAATATGTCCCCAGATTACGAGCTGGCCAAACATCACAGCTCCCTAGCAGCTGCAGAGTCGGAAGATCTGAATCCCTGACCTCTCTAGCACTCTTACACATACAAAAGCTATTAGGAGTAACGCATTTCCTAAAAAACAATCTATCATTCGTCAACACCATTTGTACAGAAGTCAACAAAAAAAGCAACATTCATATCGATCAACTTTACGAAGATCCCATTGTATTCCGGAAGCTCGCAGCATTGATCCCAAATGTATCTCATCCATCTCTCGTTGTATATAAGCGAACTATCTGTTCCTCGAGCCAAGAAACGACTGGAAAAGCTTCTATCCGGGTCTCAAATGTACAACAGGATCCTCTAGAATTCAAGAAAGACGCTTTCCACTGTCTTAAGCAACTCCTTTTCCTCCCCGCTTGCAATTCCAGGATCGATATAGCACAACTGAAACAAAGCCGTTACATCAACTCCAGTCCCAGAGCGTAATCGAAACCAGAGGCAAATGTAAGATTTAAATGGTCATTACCTGGTACTGTGGCTTTTTCAGCGTATGAACCCCTCTTTTTACAAACTTCTGCCATCCTACCTTTTCTCCAAGCGATCTTTCCAGATCTTCCGTTCTCTGCAATTATGTGTCACAAGATTGAAAATTAAATTGTATTCACTAGTGAATTGCAAAATAAAGGATGAGCTTAAGATGCACCACGGATTCATAGAAACAGGCGGGAAATTACATGGCCAGGGTCTAATATTAAGAGATTGTGCTGAAGCATCCCATTATGTTGACGCTTGACTTGAATCCCAACAATCGTTCTCGAATGTCCATCATGTTGGAAGTACAAGGGTCTGCTCGAAAAATCTCTCTACAAATTAGAACAAATTATAAAACATAGTGCTTGAATGCATTTTGCTCTTTTGGTACTACAGCTACTGATCCAAACAGGAAAAAAAAAAAAAACTTACGTTTTGTCACTGACAATGACCTGATGATTTCCAGATTTGGTAAAATTATTATCAGAAAAGTAGTTCCAGATCCAATCAATGAGAACCTGACGACCGTTGTTTTTCCTTGTAAACTTATTTCTCGAAATCTCATCACTTGTGCCACCCATAGAGTCACCAAGCTGGATATTAGAACCTCCCGAATTTTCAAGTCCACTGGAACTTGCTTGAGTAGTATCGTGATTCCTTACCAACAAATACCTATCCATCGGGCCACGAACCTGGATTGCTTTCCTCTTTCCGCCATCCTGTATTCTCTTTACCTCTTTCCCAAGACTTGAACCAGGAAGAGAAGGATAAAATGTTTCAAGTTCCTTGGGGCCAAAATCCACTACCCTTGCTCGAAGTCCAAAAGAACGGAAAAGGGCAGCACATTCAGTAGCTCCAATCCATTTTCTTGATCCATAAATGTTGTTAGCAAAATGATTAGAACCAAGTGTATCAAAACCCTTTTCCCAAGCAATTTCAAGCCACCTTTGAAGTGAAGGGATATCAGGAACAAAACCTGAACCACCAAACAAAACCTCCCGAGCTTCTTGCCTTTGCACAAGCAAGTGGGAGCTAAGCATTTGGATGTTACGCCACCCGCAACCCCACCCCTTGTCCTCTGATTGAATGCTCTGAAAATGATCAATATAACCGGACACAATAGTGGTTGTATTTCCATGTTCTAACTCCAAACAGCCTCTGAGCAATGCCATTAAGCCACCTTCAATCTTGTGGAAAGTAGTCCTAGTCTGTAAAGCAATCAAGCAAGAAACCTTTTCCTCCATACTAATGTCTCCATCAATTGTTAAATTCTGCGGCGCGTATCAGTACGAACCCAATAAATCAGTAGACTGAGCTTCGGATTACAGATTAAGCAACAAATAACAAGAATAAAATACATAAAAAATAATATTTTTTCAAAGAAAAACGAATAAAAATCTGTTCTTTTTTCTTATATGTTTTCGATGAGCATGGAATAAGGACTCGTTTGGGACTGCTTCTTTAGGAATCACTCATGCTCAAAGTGTTTCTGCTATGCTATTAAGTGCTTCTACGAGTCTATGGTTTTAATTTTCCGTCATAAGCGCTTTTGATTGTCAGAAAACGCTTTAGAACTTCAAAAGCAATTCCAAAAAATGTAAAAGGCAGAAAGTAGAAGAGTAGCTACCATGGCTGATGGAGGTGCAGTAGGAGCGAGAGAAAGCTGTTGGGCAAACTCCAAATCCCTCGCCAGTTGCTTATCGAGCTCATCATCCTCAACCTCCTCAAAGTGACCGTTGGCGTGCCTGCAATTCGAATTCATACCATTACAATTTCAACCACATAAAAAATTCACAAAAAAAGGGATTAAATTTATTTGCAGCATACTGTAATACCTTTCAAGTTCGGCGGACAGAACTGTCAAATCACAGAACGGGCAACTCGAATAATCCATTGCTCGGATACGAGAGTATCGACCAAATACACAATTTTTACGGCGGCGGAGCTGCTGAAGAACGCCGAGGGCCTCCGCCGGTTCGCGCGCTTGCTTTGCACTTGCTCGAACAGCGCGGTTGCTCTTTCCTTTTCAACCACGCACGTAGCGCAAGCCTAAAGAGTCAATTATACCCTTACTATTTTGTACTTTACGATGGTGATACGGATATTTCATATTTTACCTTATTCTCATATTGGCCTCAGGGTCATTGTATATTTTGTAAAAAATATTTGCCAATTGGGGTCCAACAACTTGAGTATTTCTTTTTGGCCCATCTTCTTTGTCAATTTATGAAGTTATAAATAGCTCAGTTGACTAAGGAGTATTCAACCCACCCTTGTACCTGAGGTTTCGTTTTGAGTTCGATTCTCCCTCGATATTGCTTGTATAAAGAAAAACATTCGGATATATAATGTTGATTCCAATGCTTTATGGCATGGAATGTGAGACGGTTAAAAAGCAACACGTGCAAAAAATGAGTTTAACAAAAAAAAGGAGGGGAACAACACCAGACACAACGGAAGAGGCATAAGACTAAGGTAAAAGAGAGCTTACGAAGATGTGAATGCTTAGCTAGGGTACACGAGAAGGGATATGGTTAAGACCAAGAATATTCAAGGTAAAGTAGAAGTGGCCGCAGTGTAAGCCGTAAGGTATACACACTTTCTAAACATTAATGGTCATTAAAGTTCCCGTAAACTGATTTAATGATAGTAACTAAGTTTTCGGTCATGATATTTAGAGGCTGTTAGTCCTCCATTCAGTCATTCACGTGAAAATGTATATATTGTTTTCAGATTTTGAAACCATAGCGCGGCAATGGCGCTCAACTTGGGCAACACTTGCAGCTACTCCAACTCTTTATGATTCGTCTTTGGAAAGCACCCGCGTTCCGCTCTTAGAGAGTAGAAGGTCTTTCATATCTCGGTAGCTTCTGAGCTCCTCCAGTGCATCAGATGTCTTCCGAGGCATAAAGAAACCAGAAGCCGTAGCAACTCCTCCCTCATGTTCATTCTTCCCAGACTGCGATGAGTAACAACTTGAATCTTGGCGCAGAGGCGGAGCTGTCCTCAGCATCTGAACCAGAACGCCGACAGCAGCATCTTGTGATTTTCTACCCATTGGCAGTGACTGAGATATGAACTCTGAAGGCCTTTTGCCGTCACTGTTAGCCCAAAATGTAAAGAGAGAAATATAAGATGATACGGAGCAAGCTATGCATCTTTTTCAGCACGCAATATCCTAAATGTAAATTCAGATTGTGTGTATACGATAAGGCAAGAAAAGACATGTCAATTCAAGTCATTTAAAGTAAATAACCCGTCAAACATGGTAATCATATGTTTCCATTTCTTACGTTTTCAACATACCATAGCACATTACCAAAAGAATCTAGCCAAGGAAACAATAGTTACAATCTCTAACGGAAAGTGAATTCCGATACAAGAGCTGAACCAGGCAAATGATGGATCATGACCATGTAAGCAAATACAATGGTTTCTAATTTCATCACAGGGATTCAGGTACAAAAAAGACCCAACTATGTTCTGTTATTTACTGCTTCTTTTATCCAGATTCCATCAAAAAATCCAAAAGTTCAAGAAGCCGGAAACAGATAACCATTATGGTGAGAAGCATGAACAATCCATGCAGTAAAGTAGTCACAACAATTATGGTGGAAATAAAATTATACCGCTGCAGAAATCAAACTTTATCTTAGGTCAACAATGGGCAATGACTGCATATATATGTATATATACCATAGAGATTGCACCAAAAGGAAAATTTGTATACCATAAAGATTATTAAGTACCTGGCTTGAGAATCTGATGTATCAACATCATCCACGTCAAAAGGACATGAGAACTCAAAATCATCCAAATCATCCTGGAAAGACAATCTACTCGAGCTTCTAGAAAATCCAACACGTGGTGAGCCACTAGACGACAACAATCCTGAGAAACGCCCCGAATCATCTTTGCTGTCTTTCATCACCTATGAAACAAACAAAAGCTGGTGTTATAGAAACCGTGAGAAACAATTTATTTCAAGACCACAGGTTGCATAATCGGAAAACAGGGACTACCTTCTGACCAATGTAATGATTTGAACTTCCAGGGTGAGTCTCTCCGGCCCTTGAAACCTCCAATTTTCTGATTGCCTTGATTCCAGATGGAAACTCTTGCGAGGAATGATCATTCCTTGTGCTTCTGGGTGATAAAGGAGGAAGAGAATTTCTACTTGGATCAGAAAAATTGGGGGATAAGTATCTAGGGCTCCCCATTGGAAGGGGGATGCTTACAGGGGCAGTTCCTGAACGAATTCGAGTTTGCATAGGATTGAAATTACCACTGGACAAGTATGTTGGGGGTGATGGCGATGGGGATGGCGAAAATGGAGGTGAAAGCTGATACTCATCAGCACTCATATTTCGTTTATGACGTAGAGGTCTATAGTTTTGACCTCTGTTGGCGAATGTATCAATGGGAGGAGATCCAACATCATGTGACATAGGAGATGCACGATATGCAGGTGGAGATCCAACTAAGGGTCTATTGTGCATAAAAGGAGGTGGCCTGTGGAAGCCACTTGTCCAGCTGTGTGGGCGTTGGTGTGGCACACCAGATGGCGGTCGTGCTCCTCTCGACGGAAAGGAAGTTGCACTAAAACCCTTCCCTGATGAGGGGAAAGACCTCAGGGGGTCAGTGGCAGGACTACCAACATAATCAGTAATTATCCTCGGTGGCGTTGGTGCTGAAGGCTCAAGATTTAAATCAGCTAGTGTTGGACGGTAATTCACAGATAAAGAAAGGCGGCCAGGATGAGCCTCTACGGGAGCAAAACTGAACTCCTCCATCAGTTCCTCCTCCGCCCTTGAGAATGGATCTCTAAGTGAAGACACCTTGTAGATAATATCAAAATTGTAAGTCTGACTAGATGTACTTAGCTGTCTAAAGATCCTATAAGCTGGAAGAAGTCTCATATACAAATAAAGAGTACGTAAAAGAATGATTGACTTCTTGTATGTCCTTTTGTAAGAGGCCGAAGTGTCGCCAGTTTGGGGAGCCACAGCCCTTGGAGTTTCGTACTGGACAACCCACCTCTCTATGATTGTCTCAACAGATGTCCCCTCCACTGAATTCGCATACAGATTGTCAACAGAAGAAGAACTAGGTCCTCCGCGAACAAGTATAATGTCAATTATCATAGGATCCATTACACTTCTGTGCCAAAAATTTAAATTCTCAAGAGCTGCAGGGCGGTCTCCTAGTATTAAGTTAAACCACTTGTCACTCTTTCTCACTTGAGTTGGAGATGACAGGTCACCGCTGCGATCATGCGGGTGAAGAGAAGGAATCCTAGAGTCCAAAACAATATGCAAGCTTTTCAATAGAAATTGGGAAACTATCTGTTCCATTTTCCCCGATTCGAGCTGAGAATTATTCTGAAAGTCCATAATTCCTGAAAACTAAATCTTTAACTAGACTCCCACTCCCTCTCATACAGCATTTCAATCGGAAGCAACCGGTACCCACAAAAACCTCACCTTGCGCAAATCACTCAAAAACAACAACACGAATTTGGATAAAGTCTTGATCCTGCATTAAACCATACAACTATTTGATGTGCTCCAATGCAATTCTCGGATTAAGCGAACTGACAAAACCAGTGAAAATTAAACACCCACTTCCGGAAATCTTATTCAACCATCGATTAGTAGTTCAGAAGTGCCAGAACAAAATTAAATTCAACCATTGGCAATGATGATGGTGCCGTGTTGCAGCTAGTCTGCATACAAAAATGGAGAAAAATCAAATGACCCAAATAAAACCCACATCCGAAATTCAACATGCAAAGCATTCAATGACCCATTACGCATCCGAAAGCAAACGGATCAAGCATATCGGGCAAATAGGTCCTCGGATGATCCAACAAGAAGATCATTAAATTAGTAATAAATTAACAATCTTAACCAAACATAAATAATCAGATTACGCTAAAAACGAGAGATCTAATCTTCCCAGATGATCTTGAAAACGTTGTTAGACAAATAATTGATATGGAAACAGGAAACTTACTGAAAGAAAAGAGCGATGATAATTTGAAGTTGTTCTTCTGCAATGCAAGAGAGAGAAGGAGAGGGGAGAGAGAGAGAGGAGCGCCGAGGGATTGCGTAGAGCAGAAAGAGCCCACGTTTCCCTTCTTCTTTCTTGCTCGGTTTGTTTGATGGTTTGAAGTAAGCATTTTCAAATTTTGAAGAATAAAAAATTGCCCTATCATTTGCGTCAAAGTTATGTCATTGCAAATGGTCTTTGACTTGAGGAGGAGGGTGACGAGATAAAATGATATTATCTACTTTGAAGTAACGGAGAGAAGATGAATTTAGTCGCACAATAAGTTAGTAATAATGTGATTTAAATTTATATTTGATGAGAAATGAACATAAGTCATTTCACTTACAAGTGAAAGAGAATACCGCTATATTATAGTATTAAGTTATGGGCGAGGGGATAAACTTGAAACATGATGATCGATTTTGTTTATTTATTGTATTAAAAATAAAAATCAATTTTTTTGTTCAATAAACTAAAATACTTAGATTGCAATAAAATTAATAATTTTATTTAAATATCACCTTTTGTAATTCATAATTTTTTTTTATCTGAAAAGATAATTTAATTAATTTGATATAAGGTTACAGGCCAACACAAAGGAAGGCAAATGACCCAATTATATTGGGAGGAATAGATACATAAAAACCCAACCCAATTAAATAAACTAAAAAGGAAATCCAAATTCCTAATTTTCGATCGCAAAAAGCAATGTCTGCCACCGTCACCGCCACGAAAGTCATGCCAGCAGCAACACTAGAGAAAACAACCGAGTGGTGAAAACGAACAAGACATCGCAACACAAAAGTACCAAACCCGCAACAAGAAGCACACCACATCCAGATTTCTTCACTAAAGATGCATAACCAAAAGATAGTCATCAAATCCAAATCTCATTCACGAATCCCTGCAAATATATACAAACATAGTAACACATGGGGTAAAAGGTGAGGTTAAGGGGATATGTAAAATATCCTTACTTTGGCCGAAGCCGCAATACACTTGGTCTTGATGGAAATCCAGCAAGCCGTTTTGGGGTGGGAGGGGACAGTGAGGGAAGAGAAATAAATCTGACAACCATATTCGGCCCAGAGTCTGTAGATCAAAGCAAATGATGGGGTAGGGATGGTTTATGGGGAAGGGAGGCAGAGGGGAAAAGAGAGGGGAGATGGAGTTTTGGGTTTGGAAAAGAATAGTCATATGAGAGGGAGGGGTGGAGAAGAGGGACATGAAGCTCAAAAGTAAGACAAAATCATGGGAAATTTTGAGACAAATCTCAAGGAAACCGAGAAAAATCTCAGGGGAAAATTGAAAAAGAGAGAAGATGATCAAGAGAAAGAGGGAAAGAGGAGAACAAGGAACTTGGACAAGGATAGCCACTGGCACCCAAGCCAAAGGCTAGGGCCGGGGGCAAAGGAGTTTGCAAGTTTGGTAAATCAGAGAGGGTTTCACGCGTTTTAATTCATAATTTTTTTAGTAGTAATTCATAACTTTTGTAGTAGGGGGGCTATACTTATATAGTTAATTGGTAAGAAGAAGAAAAGTTGGTGGGGATCATCAACCCGCATCTGAAAACACAAACATCATTCATACTTATGGAAAGAGTTTGTGTGTGTTCTTCTCTGATAGGATTTGTTAAAAAAAAAAAAAAAAAAGAATATGAGAAATTAATATTCTTATATATTTATAATCTAAATACGGAGAAGGTATAAAGGTGAAATTCATAATTTTAAACTGTCCTTCTCTCATTAAGATCTCAATAGAAAAAAACAAATCCACAAAAGAATAAATAATAACATAAGAAGAGCCAAGTTAAATTATACATAAGGCGCCAAACACCGAAATCGTAAAATAGTATTATTTAGCATGTAACATGACATGCCGAACGAGGTCTAATATTCTGATATTTCTACACCATTTTTAACTTTTAAGAATCCTGTTGCAGCAGAATTTTTTCAAAAATAGGTTTTACTATGCTTTTGGTAGAAATTTGATCAATCAATAAACATTCGTACGTGTTAAGCTAGCTCACAATTTGCTGCGTGTACTCAACACCTATCAAATTACTATGTTCAGCAACCCTTAAGGAAATGACGCTTATCTCCACGAAAAGAATAGCATCATGACCATAAGTTAGAGCATAAGAAGTCTCGGTCGCCGAACATTGTGATGTTCGGTAAGCCCAAAGTGCTTCATTAAGAGTTAGGTGCCACATACCAGGCCTGTTCTTCACCATTTTCCCCAAAATGCTCACAATGATTTATTTGCTGCTTCGGCCTGACTATTAGCCCGAGGACAATACGAGGTAGATTGTTCCAGCCGAATCTTGAGAGTAGATATATAATTCTTCAATATTTCATCCGTAAAAATTGTGCCATTATCCGCGATGATTGTCTATGAAATACCGAATCTTGTCACAACCGGTTTGTTTTCGCAAGATCTATATCATAGAAGTTGCAGAAAACGTTGTGAGGTCTGCCTTTTATTGGACCTCGATAGCAGTTTCTATGAATTTTAAGAGAGGGATAAAAGAACATGCTAGCAGAGCCCGAAGTATGACTTTTAATAATCTTATGTGCATCAAATTTGAAAATAAGTTCTTGTGAAAAATATGGCTGTTGAATTTTAACAAGATCTTAGGAACTTGATACGCTTATTAATGCAGAAAATATTTTGAGCTAGGACCGATCGATCCAACAAGTACAAGTTATTTTTCATGAGATGGATCTTTGCTGCCTCTGCAATGGTAACGAATGGCTCGATAGAGACGAGTGAGGAGGCGTTGGGAGCATCAGTCGTCTCTTCCTTGACATCATACTCGACTCTGGTTTTGATGATGCAGCAGCAAGAGGGTTGCGAATCCCCGGCCGGCAACTCCTATTTTCTCTGCTACTTCAAACCGAACACGGTATGAGCTAAGTCCAAAATCCAGGTCCGCCTTCATTCACCTCAGCTTCTTTCGCTCGCGTCTCATTGTCTGCCTTTGTGAACTTTTCCGTGTGTCCAACACCTACACACACACACATACATACATATACACACCAATTAGCTCAATCAATTACCATTTCTCGGTTCAAAATCCTGATGATCAGCAAGAAGATTAGCGCGGATGCAGCAGCAGGTGTTGTATTAATTATGTAATTATATACCTGATGCAAACTTGATATGAATAATAGTCCCAGCCCCTCCATCACCATGTATGACTTGAACTTTTTCAATCATATCTGGAAGTTGTTGTTCCACGAATCTTGCCAGCGCAAGCGTGCCGAAGAGCTCCCATGCTTCACTTGCAGGCACCTCCGCTTCTAACTCATGCCAAAATTCAAAAAATTCAAAAGTTCGACATCTGCAATGAACTTGATAAAATTTATGTAATAATCGGTAAATAGCGTCGATATGCATTGATCCTATATCTCACCAATTTAGAGTGAAATTTGCACTTCACATTCTATCCATATCGATCCTTGATTTTTCGTATATTTCAACAAAAATATAAACAATTTTGTGAATATTTTAAATATTGCAGATAAATCATTCATCCTAAAAATTCTTTTCAATTTTATCTCCCACCGACAATAACTAAACCCATGAAGTGGGTCTTATAATAATCTGTCACTCACAAATGATCACGATTCACCATCTAATGCATGCTAACCAATTTAGTGTTAGCTCTATGAGTGCAGTTCTAGTTTAGTTGCTCATAGCAAGCGTAATTAGATTAATTGACCAGAACAATATACTTAACATTCAAGTACTAACTCGAGGTCAGCCCTTAATTTTGTAATTTTCAAAGTGATGTAAAAAATCGATTTGGCAAAAAGAAATTGACACGGGATATCGGTCCAATTCGAAATCGGAAATGCCACTTTTGTCGCAACTAAAAGGATGACATTGACAATGATCGAAATGGCCACCAACTTCGACCAAAAAAAGGGAAAAGAAAAAAGAAAAAGAAAAAGAAAAAGAAATGGCCACAAACCTTCCACGGCCACGCAGTTGAGATAATACAATGGAAAATGGTCATCATATTATGTCCACATAAATTTAGGATAACAGAAGCAAAATAAACTAAACAGGGAACAAACAGTCGGTAAATATTGCAGGTAATGTTTTAGATTACACTGTTTCAAATTTGCAAAGTAATCTGATCTCAAACTTTCTATTTTGTCTAAATTACCGGAATATGAATTCGAATTTAAATACAGAAGATGAAAAATCTAATATTCATGCATTTAAATCTCTAATTCTCTTTGAAAATTTGAATTCAAAAGGCAAAAAATTTAATATTTATGCATCTAACGGCATCGCCGAATCACTAATTCTCTATCAAGATTCATAACACTAAGTAAAGCTTATTCAACAAATCAAACAACTCTCCACGTAAATATAAAGCATTAAATATCTAGTATTTATCGTAAAATTAGTAACATTAATCCGTTCACTCAGATTTTTACCGTTTCGCCGCATACTTATTGCTGACCCAACTTTAGGAAGATTAGGACGTCCCACCCACTAGTTTGTCAATCAAGTTACCTATGCGAACTCGATAGGCCACGATGCTCCATCAAACGTCCATTTTCACATGCATGCCAAATAGGTTGTATAATTGCTAACTTATGACTCCTTTTTTAAAATGACAGAAAACGTTTTTAGAGAAAATATTTTTAAATTCTAAAAGCACTTGAGTGTTTCCTGAAGGAAGTACCAGTCATGAAAGCACTTCAAATGTTTTTCTAAGATTCAATTGCGTTTTTACTAAGAATTAGATCAAAAATATTTTTACCAAAAACACTTTTAATCATTTTAGAAACACTTCACAACCAACCCTTATTTGTTACTGCCAAAACCTTGTCGGGCATTGTTTATTTTAACAAATTTTTTTGGGAGTTTTAACGAAAAGTTCGCGGTACTGTTCACTTTAACGAAAAATCATATTTTTATACTAAAAAGTCAAACATGATATTATTCACTTTACCATTTATTTTGTCTTTATCGTTAAAACTCAAAGTTTTCAAGCTCTTTTCATTAGTTTTTTTTTTGTTTTTTTTTTTTGCCCTATTAGGGTAATGAAACAACAGGAAGTGTGGTTGGATTTGGTCAGATACAATCAAACGGCCCGAAACATCTGATAAGTTTTCTTGAATTAGTCAGTGGTCACGGTCAATATTAATAACGTGTGGAAACAATGAGAAAATGTATTTTTGAGCCAAAAAACAATGAGAAATTTGATCAACAATATTGAGGTCAACTCAATCTTCTTCATTATTTGTTTGTGTTTACATATGACTATTCCAAACATTGACAAATATAAAATAAAAAGAAAAATTATTTGAAGACGAAAAGGATGGTTGTTTCAATTAGTAAGGGAGTGTTTGTGATTAATCCCCATTTTAAGTTTGATTTTCGCTGCTAGCTGTTCTTGTTGGTGCAATACCTAAACTTTTGAACAACAAAAATGAGTAACAAATGATTTCAATATAACAGAGTTGATTAAGTTGATATGTTCTTTTTGTATATAAGTTTGATTACGTCCTTTTCATCTAATTTATCTTAGATTAGAATATTGATTAGCAAAAAAATTATAATTAATGAAATTCATTAACTTTCTTGTTTACAAGTTAAGTTGTGAATTTTTATTTTTTTCTTCTTTTGAGAAACACGATAAGTGATATGTTATAATGGTTTCGTTAAAACTTTGCTCATAAAATTTCATTCAAGAATTAAGGAAGAGAGAGAGAGAGAGAGAGAGAGTGTGTGTGATACACGGGCATGCTTATGTTACATAACAATGTAGAATACAATATTGACCAAATATAGCGTTCTTTAAATCTAGAAAGAAATAAGTCAAAAGAAGAGTCATGTTATTGGCTTAATAGCTAAAATTCAATTAAATTAAACGAAAGAGTCATCAAGATATATCATACAAAAGATTTCTACTATATTTTAAAGTTTTAAGCCATAAAATGTTTAGTTAAAATTTGAATGATCAAGAAAGAACGGTCAAAAACTTGAAAGAAGATTGTACTCCAAATACGCAAAAAGACATGATTTATGACGGGCGCAAAGGCGTAAGCAGAATCACAAATTCGTAACCAAAGCAGATACAGTGAACCTGGACACATCCTTTTTGGCCTTTAAAAACGTACTCTGCGCACAGCACCCATCAAACACTTTATTTTCTGTTAGCTGTGACCTGTGAGTTTTTTCGAGTCCAACAAAAATGGCGGTAACGAAGCAACTGCCGGCGGCGGAAGAAGAGAAGCTGCTGAGGCAGAGGAACGAGGAGTTGGAGAGGGAGTTGAGGAAAAGCCAGGAGAGGGAGGAGCGGATGAAGGCGGAGCTCCAGAGAGCCCGCGAGAGGCTCCGAGTCGCCGAGGAGGCAGAAGAGCGTCTCTGCTCTCAGCTCGGCGAGCTCGAAGCCGAGGCCGTCGATCAGGCGCGTATGGATCACGGCCGAATTCTGGCCCTCGCGGACCAGCTCTCGCACGCCCAGCGCCTCCTCCAGGCTTCCGCCATTCCCCTGCCGTCGTCGGGACTCGCTTCCAAATGACAGCCTGGCTGAAACATTAGTTACTAACCGTTTCCTCTTTTGTGAAAAAAAAAAAAGCCGTAATTTTGTTCTAGTTTGTGTTGAGTTGTTGGTTGTAATTAGAGTGGTACAAAAAATACCCATCATCGTGTCGGTATCTCAAATCAATAGCTCATTATTGTAAGTAAGTCCGCTTTGTACGTTTTTTTGTTGTTGTAATTTGGACTTGTTCGTGTTGTGTATTATGTTGTTCGATAATTTGAATCATTTGATTTTTAATCATTTCTTTCCCTTTGAAGAAAACGAATATGTAGAGAAGAAGAGAGATATTTTGTTTTGCAATTCTTGTTCTTGGTGTTTGCAATTTCCGGCCGATAGTCTTTAAAGGTTAGCTTGGTGTCGATCATATTCGGATTGATAACTCATTAAATTCAATGTATATCGACAAAAAGAATTGATGCTTTGTCTAAATGTCGAAAATTGATAAGTCTTCCACCTTAAATTTGGATATTCCTTTCGTACCACCATCTTTCTTCTCTTATAAAATTTCTAATGTGATTGAGGTTTTTCTTAATATGAGATAGGTTGTTGCTGCGCTGATTGCGTAATTAGGTGACATTTATTTTTTATTAACATACAATAAATTTAGTGAATTTTTTACTACATAGGCCAAAAATTTATGATCTTGAAGTCTTAGATCTCCAAATCTAACCACAAAGTTATGATCCTGAAGTTTAGATCTCCAAGATTTTGGTTGGTTAATTGTTGATCTAAGGGTGTATTCAATTGAGAATTTAAGCGACTTTAATGGATTTATAAATTCATGGATTTTTATGAAGTTTAATTGATTTGTAGAGATTCCATATAAAATTTTGATTCAATTTTCTCGAAATCTCATGGGAAGAAGTGAGATTTGTGGATACTTAAAATAGACTATAAAATTTCTCCAATTCCCTCTAATTCCTCAACTTTCTCAAATTCTTTAAAATCAATTTCTAATTGAACACACCTGGAATGTTATAAACTTCTTTAAAATCCTAATTGAATACACTCGGTTTCTAAGGATTTTACTAAATTATCTTAAAATTCTAATTGAATACATCTTGAATTTCAGATAATCACTTAGAATCCTAATTGAATACCCCTATATTCATTAAAATAATTAAAATTCCTCAAAATCCTAATTAAATACACACCCTAAATGAAGATTAGAGTAGATGAGATGGCAAGTGAAAGTTGAAAAGTATATTTGTGGACAAAGTTGCGACTGCAACTTTCTTTTTCCCCACCGAAAGGAATACGAGGAAAAAAAGGGAAATGTGTAGGGTAAGATCACAATGCAGACTTTTAAAAATGCTAACCAATAACGTCTACGCAACATGTTTGAAAATATTTATACGTCCTTGATTTTGACGTGCATTAATGCAGAAAAAAGAGAGGAAGAAACCCCAATAATCGTCTGTTCCCTTTGGACTAACTCTATCTCTCTCTATATATGTTTTCTGAATGAGTTAACGTGAACGGGAATATTAAGATGACAGTGTCTCAAATAAACTATGCAACGTGCAGTGGGGTCAAGGTGGTCTTAGACCACTCAAAGTTCGGGAAATATACAAGTGAAGGGCTTTCAAGAACCTTTCGACAACAAAAAATCATCAAGCGTTTGGTAAAATACTTTAGTGAATAAACTGAAATTTTGTTGTTTCTATTTAATAACTTATACTTTTAACATTGAAACCCTCCAATGTTCGAATCCTAAATTCGTCACTGTCAACATTAATAGATTCAAAGACATTGCCACGATAATATTTTGAATAATATAAATCTCTTTCGTGCTTCCGGAAGAATGCGATGCATAAGATATGATGGCTTTTATCTCCCGTATGAAAGCTTAGAACAGATATTTCGGTCTTATTACTCAATGATAATGGTCCAGCATGACCATGACTGCTGAAAATTAACGGTGGAAACGAAGTCGGGGGAATGCATAGATAGTGCCACATGGGTCCACACCTACATGCTATTGCCTAAACTTTTTCTCTTTTCGCATTCAGATAATGATATATATAAAATCGTTATGTTACGTCTCAATCTAATAATACAGAGACGGAGCCATGAAAGAATCATGATGGTTTCAGGGCCATGGTGACATTCTTTTAACACGTAGAAAAGTTTGATATTATATTTATGATTTTCAAGATTTTTCCGTAGGCTCAAGATTCTAATATGATGTTTTTATTGTGATTTCCTTCATTGAGTTTGATTCGAGGTTGGTGGTTCCTATGCAATTGAGGCTATTCGTTGCTTGTGAGCTTTGAGGAGGACTTTGGTCTAGGGATTAGCTGAAGGCGAGAGGAAGAAAGTCAGAGTGGCTTCTGGCTTACGTTTAAGGAAGGAAGAGGATGATGAGGACCGGATCCAATGACGGTGGTTGCTCACCACACAACAAAGTAATTTTCGTAACATCAGGAGAGCATTTCGAACTGAGAGTTTTGGGCCCCTTCTAGGATAAAATATTGGATCTGCACTGCTATAAAACATTGTTATGCAAGTTTTTCTTCACATGACAATATATTATTAGATCGGAACGCCATATAGCAGTGAACCAGTTTCATATAAATTACTCTCCATATTTTGACTTCCATGTAACTGAAATGTTATTGTAATGATATCTCAATTTAATTAAGTAAGTTTCTGCCGTGCCATACGAACCATTGCACAAATGACGTGTTTGATACAGTATACGAACGTTAAATTCGTATGCCATACGTGGTCATGTGGCATCTAACAGTTCAGACTGTGTTCGTAAGTCATATACGTGTTTGTCTAACATAACTGCTACGCATTTCTTCGCATTCCGATTCATACTTCATATACGTTCAGTTTCCACCTTTGTCCGATTCAAAAATGGACAGAGGACGAGGGCAACGCGAAGCTACACCATGTGAAACTAGGTCTGTCATCTCCAATGTCCATGTGTAATGTTGTACTTGTGCATATTACTACACATGTTCCTATAACCAATAAGATACGTTCACGTCATGCATCCACTGAGATTAATAAGTATGGTTTTACGATTCGATTGAAATGTTTAGCTCAAAATATGGAAATTTAGTCGTCCAATAAACCGGTTTACAAGGCGCATTGTAGAATTTTGGATTGATCAAATTGCTTTTTGAAACTCTTCTAGGATACCCAGAGCATCCTCAAGAGTATCATTTATTAGGCCTTCCTTAATCCAAAAAGCTGTAAGAGAAGCTGAGCTTGCTAACCAAGCTAAAGTTCTGATTCGCCCACTTGCCCGAGCACACTTCAACTTGTACATGCGTTTGGGAGATGACCCTTATAACACGGCTTAGTCAGTTATTTTCGCAGTTCAGATAAGATTTGAACCACCACTTCTCTAAAAATATGGACCTTGACGTTTGTATTTTCATTTTCGAATCAAGATTTAACGATTAGAACATCTGGAGTATCCTATACACTGGAAATTATTGGATCTCGGAACAATCAAATTTAAGAAATTCCGATTCTTGCTTTCTCTTCATAATATTTGGTCGTTGTTTAAGTTAATTAAAAACCAACCTGTGCATGTCTTCATAGCGGTACCGTTGTAAATAGAAAGATTATGCAATCAGCTAACTTTTAATCTAAGCAAATTGTAGCCGTTGAATAGTTAAGGGCACAGTCGGCAGCACATTATCTCAACTCAAAACAGATCTCCCTTCACAGTCTTGGGTTCTGATCTGCAGATAGAAGGGCTCTTCTTTAGGATGGCAAAGCAGACTAAATCGACAATACGCAGTTCAACTATTCTATCCTCGCCTCTCTTTTATCTCCGGGTCCCTGAAACCAAATATTAGTCATAATCCAATCGACTCACAGGTTTGAGGGTGCGATTTAAGTATTTACGGATCATGAATCATACCTCTGAATGTGATCGAGAATGAGAAGCCTGGGTCCGGGAGGGATTTTCACGTCTCTAAGAGCACTGTAATGAAATTGCATGACGAATGGAAGGGCGTTCATTAAAATGAATACAGGCTACATGGTTTATAAATATGGACAAAGTGACTTTACGATAGAATGTGAGTGATGAAAAATACGCAAATCCTGCTACTTGCCTATCGTTGAGCAGAGGTAAAGTGTTGTCGGATAATAGGCCTTTCTTGAAATTCTTCTCGTAACTCTGGAGGCCGAGGTTGCTCAACATGCTTCTTGTTTTAGAATAGTAGATATCTTCGGTAGGTGGTTGAGAAAATTTTTGCCCCAACTGCATAACCATGTGAAAAGTGCTTTGAGCGTGTATAAGTAACAAGACCACGGATGCTAACAAACATGCATGTAAGCAGTGCTAACTCATACAGGTCTGGATATGAAATTGGAATAATATGAAACCACATAGACGTTCATCTACATTTGGTATTTTCGAAAAGAAAAAAAAAAACGTGAGTTCCAGATTTTCAGCTGCTTCATTGCCTTACAAATGACATGTTTGTTTTACTAACGTCTCCAAAAACCGCAATGCAATCATGTAGCTAAGGACTAGAAAATGAAAACACTTCACCTTTCAGCTACTATCAAACTGATAAATCATATCTTGTCAGTGTCTCACCTTGAAAAGTCCACCTTGAACAAGTGCAAAGAAGAGTCCAGAAGTAACCGCATTTGCTGCTTGATTGGGGCCACCCATGCCGCTCACAAGTGAAAACAGGGCTCCGGAACCAAAAGCAGCCACCATGCTGCAACAAAAATAGGGTAGTCACAAAATCAAGGAAACAAAGGCCACTTGTATCAGAAATAAATGAAATCTATAATACCGGCACATTGAATTAATAATATAAATGAAGAACAATCTTATAGATGATCCATTTCTAGATAAAGAAATACATTTTTTCATGGGAATGAAAAAAGAGTGGTGGGGTGGAAGAAACAAATCGACAGGAGATCTCCTTGGGACCTGTTGAAAATTTAGGCAGGTGGCACACCCTTGGCTTATGGTCGGCCATGTAAGTTTCAGTTTTTCCAAAATGAACCAAAGGAACCAATCCATTAAAGTCTGTTCCTTACTCTTCAAATGACCTAAAACAGCCTAAAAGGCAGCAGGGCAACATCCACATACACAGGAGCTAAGATAAATTTTAAAAGAAAGGTTACCCTAATATAATTCATAGAATTTTGGCTAAATCACAACACAGAATATGGCCATATGAGACCAGGCATCCACAACAACTTCCATGTTGTTAACTACTGCCTATAATTCTTCATTAAAGCAATCATAAGCTCAATTGATTGTGACTGCAATTTTATAAACACCAAACAGTGTGGACAAAGGAATAGGCTCACCTAGACTGGACATCCTCCTTGCCTCTCACTCTTTTCATGACACAGGATATGCCGGCATTGACACCAGTCATAACAGCAAAGTTGCGAGCTTGGACCAACGGACCACCTGCAAGGGCCTATGATCAAAGCAAACAAATTGTGTATATCAACAGAACTGCTCCACCAAGTACGGGTGACTGTTCTGACTAATTCAAACATTAGCCATGTTTCAAAATTTATCTGTTATTATTAAGAAGAAACATGTTTCCCACCATAAAACATGTAGGGTTTCCTTAAAGAATGTTTGGAGTTCATACAAATTTCAACTTCTACAAATCCTTAACAGAACTACCAAATAATAGTAAATTACACGGAAAAAAACCCCGAGAACTATAAGTTTCATAGAACAAACACTTATGTTGATTCTTAGTTGCGAACATCCTTCAGTGTCCCTACCATTGCAACGTAAGCAAGGTAGGGTTTGAAGCGTTTTTCTCCAAAGCCTAGCATTTTCAAGGGTTATATGTGAAATGCTCAATAATTAAGCCCAATAAAGTGAAAAGGAATCAAATTTTACTCTGCTTAGCTCACTAATTGCATACTCTAATCCCATCTGAATACCACTCATTTGAAGAATACTAGGTTCCATGTTTACTCTTTGCCGCCCCAAAGTTTCTAAACAACGGCACCAACAGCAATCGCAGTAAGCAGACTCAAAGAACAAAGTAATAATTTGTCCTCAAGAAATTAACTTTTCCTGTATTTAAATACTGCAAATTGCTACGAACAAGAAACAAAATATTGGGATTTATCATATAATCAAAATGCCAAGTAGGGTGTGCTAAAGTTTCAGTCTTTCTCCAAATTCTCCGCGCAGTTCACAATAGAAATCCAATCCAAACAAAGCGTATTTCGTAATTTAAACGAAAATATAGTGCAATTTTTGTGTGTGTGAGAGGGAGAGAGAGAGAGAGACCTGAGCTTGCTTGAAAGAGGCCATGGCTTGGGGGTTGAGGCCGGCCTGAGGAGGAGGAGTGGGAAGAGAGGAAGAAACATCGTTGGTGAGGGTACCCATGAAGGCGCCGATGGCGGCGCCCTGAGCACCGCTGGTGAGTGTGACGACGGCGGCCTCGACGGGCAGAGATTGCTTGGCCAGCCACCCCCTGACGCCAGCCTGCAGCTCCTTGAAGCGAGCCTGGAATTCCTCAATAGGGTTCTGAGGAGGCACCATCTTCTCCACCATAGCTCCCTGTTTTCCTTGTTCCATGCGAGATTTCGACTTCCCCAATTCGATTTCTGCTTCTTCTTCTTCTTCTTCCTCTTCTGGTTCCGTAATTGCTATTGGAGCATACAGTCTCTCTCTCTCTCTCTATGGATAACGAGGTTTCTTTGTTTTTGTCTCTCTTATATACTTCCCCTAAACCCTGCCCTGCCGTATGGCTATGGCCTTAGACCTGCCCAAATTAAACCCTCCGAAACATAACTTCCACCGCTGAAAACACTTGCGTAAACCCTCGACAGTTGCGGTACATTTTGCCTCATTAGCCGGTCAAACTCATTTCTTATTAAATTTTGGAGGCAGATTGTCTGCCCTACTGTTTTCCTGCTCTTTCCACATACTTCTATTTGTACGGTTATGGTTAAAGTATGTCAACATTTTATATTAATTTTTTAATAAAGATAATAAGACAAAAATAATAGAAATATAAAATATTAACGTGATTTAACCGTGATCGCACAAATATAAGAGAATGAGAAAAACACGGTAATAGGAGGACAGACAATCTGCCTCATTAAATTTTTTGGTTTAGCTTGAGTTAATGAGTTTCCCTATGATCAAATTGATCGTACTTTATTCGTTTTGTAATTTGCACCTTATAACTTTTTAATTATTTAAAGGCATATAAAATTTTTAATTATTTAAAGGTGCGTAAGTTTCATTTCCACTTAATTATATTTAGTTAACGGGCACTATACGTGATGAAATTTATAAAAATAAAATTGACGGTTGAAGGGGTGTAATGGCTGGCACGGATTGAAGTTTTAGCGAGGGTCAAAAGTAAATTTAGTTTTCCTCTTGACCAAAAGAAAAAAAGAGTTCAAGATGCAAAGCAACACCAATTAAACGTGAGATTTGTTTGGAACACGAAGCGTGAAAAGTTTTTTTTAAAGTATCATTTAAATTGTATAATTATGTGTGATCTACAACTCTGTGTTTCGAATATACTGAAACTTCCCGAATTAACTTAAACCTTGTGGTAGATTTTTCAGTATGATGAATCACGAGCAATACGCTACATGTCATCATATAATTAGCAAAAATCTTTTTAAAACTTCCTCCAATTATAATATGGGATGTAGCATAATGCCAATATTAAGGTCCACTGAAAAATCTCTCGGGCCTTGCAATGCGAGGCCAAGTCCATTGCCATGGAACCATATTCATTACTTTTGTAAGTCCCGCGTTTTTGCCATTCTCTTTCGCGGGCGGCGGTGGTTAAATTACTTAATTTTGGCGCCAATCACAAGCCGGTGGCTAGCAGGCTAGCAGCCGTCCGACCCGCTCTTCCGCCGCCTGCATCTCATCGTGGTACCTTCTCCCTTTCAATTCCAGATACTTGTATTATTTGGTTTACAGTTAATTTAGTTCGTTATCAGATCCACAACTCCTGTTACCCTCTGATTTGTGGTTTTGGCATTTCCGCAAACACCTTGTGAGCGTGGCTGCTGCTGATTCTTTAGCTTCACACATATGCAGACAGATTCTCTCCCTGCAATCTTTCTACTGATCTCATCTTATATGTTAATTTTATATTACATTGTCTTTTTCCATGTATGATAATTAATTTGATGAAACGCATCCGAAGGTCGAGGATCGAGGAGGACGGGGAGGAATCAAAGTTTATTGCTTTCGAGCAGCCGGGATGAGCACGTCGAGGGAGGAGTCGCCAGATTGGCTGCGCTCTTTCCAGGTACTCGACAAGAATTTCACCAATCTTTTGTAAAAGTTGAAACCTTCATGCTCTAATGGGTACATTTTGTTCATGTTGCTGGTTAAAGTTGCTTGGCAGTTTAGGTATTTGATTGGTTTTACATTTCTTTTTCTGTTTTGGGTCCTAAGTGGAAGGTTTTCTTTGTTTTCAGGTGCCCAAAACTCATTCACCAGTGGAATTATCCTCAGATTCCGAGGCTTCACTGAATGGTGTTCCCTCGGGGGAGGATAAACCAGAAACTCATTCCCCAGTGGAATTATCCTCAGATTCTGAGGCTTCTCTGGATGGTGTTCCTTCGGGGGAGGATAAAACTGATTCCTCTGAATTGTTTCCACGTAAATCTTCTAAACTTACCGATGAAGATGAGAATAAAGTTACTGGGGAAAGTGTTGCAGAGTCTCCATCTGGTAAGAAATTAAAACGAAACTCTCCAAAGCAAAGGAAAAAAGCAGAAGATCAGAAATCCCCTAAAAAGAAGAAACTAGAGATATCCAATGAAGGAGAAGGTAAATGCGAAGGGTTTGGTTGAAGCCTTCTGATCATGACGTTTGTAGACTTATAAAAGAGAATTTTTGGTTCAGGAAACAGTGATGATGCAGAAGTTGCAGAGGCAGAAGTTGCAGAGGAAGAACCATCTGGGAAGCACATTGAGCCTCATGTAAGAGTTTACTATAGAAGTAACAATGATTCTCTATGTAATTTTTTATAATTAATGAGTTGCTTTGGATATATGTAATTTGCAGGTCTCCACCTCAAGGTTGCCTTTGGTGCTGTCTGAAAAAGTCCAACGCTCGAAGGTACAACAAGATCTTATCACTTGGTTATAGGTTGTATATAGAGTCAGCAAGATAGTGTTCTTATCAAAAGTAGAAACTAATGTTGCCGATATATTGTTCCATAGCTTGGTGTTTTACATCCCCCATTACTTTCCATTGAAAAGAAATGGTTTGTATTTTGTATAGGCACTTGTTGAGTGTGAAGGAGAATCCATAGATTTGAGTGGTGATATGGGTGCTGTAGGACGGGTAATTATTTCGGATTCCAAATCTGCGGATCCTGAAATGTACATTGATTTGAAAGGTATGTCTTGTTTATATAGGTAAACAAATTGGTGGTTATTTAGCCTTGTCAGTGCAACTTATTGTGCGGCGTGTTTCTTAATTAGATGCCTACATCTGATTAGTTTATCTTTGGTTTAACACTACAGGAACCATATACAAAACAACAATAGTTCCTTCCAGGACATTTTGTGTTGTAAGTTATTGTCTCTACTTAGCCCCTTACAGAAATCAATAATCTTTCCTGTTAACGAAATCCGATGCACAATAATAATGATGTGATATGAAACATTTTTTTTTTGTTCAGGTTAGCTTTGGTCAGTCGGAGGCAAAGGTTAGTTAGCCATTTAGTTAGGTAAGCAGGAAATGGATAACTTAATGAAAAAGGTATGGTTTAACTCTGAATTGTATATTCCTTGAGCAGATTGAAGCTATCATGAATGACTTCATTCAGTTGAAACCACAATCAAATGTTGATGAAGCTGAAACAATGGTTGAAGGTTGGTTTTTGTTGCGGTGGCTGTTTCTTTTTTTTTCATTTTCTCTTTAAAAGAACTTCTGAAACAGTAATATCCTTAACATCTCATCGTTTTGAGTGAGTAGGAACCCTAGATGGTTTCTCGTTCGATTCAGAAGATGAGGGTGACAAACTTCCTAAAGCCACACCTCAACAAGCTGATCAAAACGAGGATGCTGAAGAGCAAAATAAGGGGGCAACCAAGGCAAAGACTAAGAAAGCATCGGTATGTTTAAGAACCTTAATTTTTCTATTTCTTTTGCGCAAATGCAATGAATATTTTGACGATGTGAAGTTTTCTTTGTCTACAGACTGTTGTAAGGAAGAGAGCTAAACCTGCCGGAGGGAAGCCACAACCAGCAAAGAAACCAAGAAAGAAACCTCAAGTTTCCAAGAAGGCTAAGGGCAAGAAATGAGGCACACAATTTTGTTTATCATTTATTCTGCTGCAAATCGGGATATTAGTTCTCATAGTTGACAGGAGTGGATTGGTGATGTAGAATAGCTAGCGGATCAGGTTATCTAGCAGCTCGACGGGCATAATCACAAGAATAACAAGGTTTGAGTTGTATGAAGTGGCGGCCCCCTGTGTCTGATTTAGGCCGAGAATATGCCATTTCGAAGGGAATGATATGTATCTTATTACTGTCATTGTTTTAAGTTGGTTGATGGAGTATTTAGTGACCATTACCGTATAATGATGCCGATTGGTGGCCTATATTCATTTGAAATTTTTACATGTAGGATCCATTGTTCATGATTCGATACAAGTTTTGTATTGTATTTGTATTGTTTCTCTCTCTGTTTGTCGAATCCCTCCGATACCATGTACTTGATTCATCACACCAGGCTTCACAGTTGCTTTCAAACGATCAAGATAATATGTAGACGATGAGAAGAAGGATTAGCGGCGGAACTGGTAACAGCGTGTTAGAAGAAGAATAAACCATCTGCACAACCTTCTCACTGCCAGGCACTTGATATCTCGGAGGAGCTAACGCATAATTTGAATTTCTCGTCCTGCATCACGGATGTTTTACCGTATGAAATCCGGGAGTTGAAAAGAAAATAAGCAGTTGTTGAAAATATTCGAATGATGATGATGGGGAGGAAAAAAAATGTACCCGTTGCCGTAGGGGCAGAAGAAAATGGCGTAATCAAAAGCCTTGCATGTAAAAGTGCTTGTGCCATCATCAAAAGCATAACTGTAAGCTCTTGGACAAGCTTTTTTGAATATGGTGGAATACTTGGAAGGCTGGCATGTCGTCGGGTTAGCAAACTGTCCGCTGCAGCAGTACTGGTCCAAACCAAATGCCTCGCAGGCGCTCTTGCATCCGATCACGGTCCCTTCGCTTCCTCCTCCCACCACCTGAAGCTCTTTCGGGCAACCTGCACGCGTGTTTCATTGCCGCTCGGCCTTCAAAATTTGAACCATTTGGGGCTCGAAAAATTACAAAAACTTGATCAAGACCATAATTTACCTGTGTTGATATCTGAAGCGCAGCCGGTGGCATTACATGCACCAAACACGCCGCGTGGTGCGGCGATGAGGGGCAGATTGTAGCCGTCTACGATGCTGACATCGTAGAAATCTAAACCATTGCCAATGCCGAGAGTTATTTCAAAGAGCGAGGCAGGTGGAGTGGCACCACTGCCACCACATTCCAGCCTGCCTCCGCAGTCACCAGTTTGACACGTGCCAGCTCCCTGCTCGTCGAATGTGCAGCCTGTCCTAGCCCATATACGCCCTGACCATCCTGGAGTAGAAGGAAGTCTCACACTCTGGCCGGGGTCTAACCGAAACCCCGTTGTTGGGAGCGGAGGGGTGCCGGAACCTGCCAATGTACCGGGCCAGATGGTTTCCGGGCAGTTGTTTGTTATAGTGAATGTGGCTGAGTAGGATAAAGAGATGAAAAATGGAAAGAGGATGCAAAAGAAGCGCAGAAAAGTTCGAGGTCTCGTCGATAGTGGCATGTTCTAGGCTTATAGGTTTTGGTTTGGTGTTTCGCTTTTCTGGTGGAATGGGATATATGGAAGGATCGGAAGAATCTGTGAGGGGAGGAAATTGTGCAATCTCAGCCGCAAGATGACCTTTCTGGGTTTAGGATTTCTTTTATCTTGGATGGCCTCTTGAAGAAGCGATTCCTTTTCTACCAAAAAGAAACTTGGACTAATGAATCTCCAAACCGAATAATCTTCCTCCAAGGAAAATAAACGATATTCTTTCGAAGATGTCTTCGAGAACAAGCAACATCTGTTTCAACACTTGGATTGAATTCGATCTCTCTACATGTACGCAGGCAGTGTCTGATCTATAAGCTCGAGCCAAAGTGAATGGGGAAGGAGAGGGAAGAACGCGGAAAAGCCTACTTCCAGTCATCCACATAACATAATCGTTAGAATAAACGCTGACCACGAAAATGAACATGAACATGAAATTACTTGCTTATAAATGTGTCGTTACAAATTTACAATGTTTTTACAAACTGACGATGCCAAATTAATAAAAAAATCTTGGCATCACTAGAAAATTTACAAGCAACGAGAGGACTTTCCTCCGTTAGAAGAGATAAAGGACGTCGAAGTTAAAAGTAGCCTAAAAGATAACAAGTAGCCTAGAAATAGTTCAGCTAAGGGCCAACTAAAGGTTGGAGGCAACTCTTCAATCACTTTCAACCTTATAAGAACAGTTACATTCAGACATGGCAGCTTAAAGGGATTGGCCTTACATGGAAAATATTGACGAACCAAATAGGCCATGGGCAGGACAACTCAAACACAATTTATGTCGAACCACCAGTACTAGATACTATGTAAATAATGTGACTCAAACGTACTCGTGCCTTGATGGCTGGGCAGAAAGTGCTGTGTTGTACTTCACCAATAAGGCAAATAGAAGAGGTTGATCAATTACCATATTGTGGAAGTTTTATCATATTTCTGCACCTAGCTTGCACGTGCAAAGTTACAACTTGATTCAAAAGACAAGCGTTTAGAACGGCCGTGTCAACTCTCCAGCATCACCAGGTGTAGCTTTGTTCTCCAAGAAATTATACAATTACCTACACGAGAAAACAAAACAAAAATTCATAAGAAGCTATATCAGAAAATTTCTAAATAAGAAAGACATCAGTCATTATTAACAAGCATATCTAATATCTCCTCGATAGCACATGCTTCAACTCCTGCAAAATTGACATCAATTTCAGATACATTCAATCAAATAACCAGAGCAAAAAAGAATGTCGATGATGCAAATATATAAAACAAGTGAAATCCGGATCATTCCTTCGTAACCTGTACTAAACTAGGCAAAAGTAACTCAACAACAATCTATACTGCCTGCAATCGTAGTGAACAAGAACCAATAATATTACAGATCCAAATAAAGAAGCAACTAAGCTAACCATTTTAATAAATAAATACAAATAATTGCCTTTCGGCAACATAAACATCATAAATGACAACAAATAAGAAGATACTAGTAATAAGGTAAAACAATTAATGGGAGTAACATAAAAGAAGTCACAGCTGAATCGCAAACGACCTGAAAGCACCCTGTAGCAAATATAGCCAAACTTCCTGACCAGTAGGGCTAGCAAAAATAAGAATTGAATCCAAGATTCTTAAGCAGTTAAACAAACCCCGATCACCCCTAAATATCATTCTTTTAAAGTCAAGCTAATGGAGGAGTTAAATTGCAGTAAACAGGACTACAAATATAGATTGTTCCTACAGACGGGTAGGACACATTAGGTCCACCACTTTAAGTACTCATCAAGTTCATCGTCCATATCCGTTCCACGAAATGAAAATAGGGAAAAGTTTAAAGGAACAAGATTAAGATAAGCAATAAAAGGTCGTTCATTTATCTTATAAGTCTAGCTCATATCCATGCCATCTCCAACTTTGCTGCAGATCAGACTGGCAGTAGTGAAGGATCTCTCGAAGGGAGAAGGATGGAACTGGGCATCCCGTCTGCGCTTAGAAGAGCAACTGTCTGCAGAAGAGCTATCCGACTCAAGCTTCCTCCGGACCCCTCTCACAGCCTGTTCCTCTACCTGTGTAAGGGGGAAAATCTTTCCGCTTGCCCGGCAAAGGGAGCTATGGTTATCATACAGGATCCTCTGATCACAGTTTTTGTCACAGATGTGAGTGGCTCCAGTTAGCTTGCAGAGGTACATATTCGCGCAGACGTGCTCGTTCTGACACTTCCAGTCACATTTGTGAACAGGATTTGACCCATCACGGCCCAAAATAGTCGACAGATAAACAACATTCGTAGGTCCTGCTACCACAGAATTACCATCCACCTCCATTGCAACTGCCAATTAATGAGTTTCGAAACGTCAATTGAACAGATTCCACCAGCAAAGGAGGCCTTTTTACAACAACAAAAACAACAACCAAGCCCTATCGGCGCGGAGTTGGCTGTATGAATCCTACAACGCCACTGCGCTCGGTTTTACGCCAAGTCTAATTTTTTTTTTTTTACAGACCCGAACACAATGTAGAAATTCGTTCCCCACACTTCATATGGAATTGTTTAATTACTAATCACAGAAACACTAATCATGTTCCATATGAAGCCAACAATTCACTTTCTTCATCAGATCTGATGCATGTACCAACGTGGGATATAAAATTACACAGTTTTAATTACTGCCCTTAAAATTTACAGAAAATATATTTGCTTATTGTTTTACCTGATTTATTAATCATAACACATAGCAATTATCTCAAACAAAAACTAAAAACATTCCAGAAAAAAATAGAAAAGAAACAAGAAGAAAATGACTCACCTGTGCTTCCTGAAGTTAAAAACGAAGAACGCGCGCGCTGTTGCTTCAACGCAAACCCAGCAACCCAGCAACCCAGCAACACCACCACCTACTCCTCACCTTCTCTCTCACCTCTCTCTCACCTCTCTCTCTCTCTCAAAGACTCAGACTTTCTCCCTCGCTATCCAAATTGCCTAGCAAGCTAACATAGAAAACGCGAGTGTAGGGGTCTGTATTTATAGAAAAAGGAGAGAGGGAGGAGAGAGAAAGTGGGGGTGTAGGGGTTGACGTTGGAGTTACCGTGAGAGAAAGGAGAGGGCAAAATGCAAGAAGCCCAACCCAACCTGCCCAAACTGATATGAGATCTCTTCCACCAAGATCACTGAATCGAGTGATTTAGATTTTTAAAATTTTATTTAACGGTGAAAAATTATTATTCATTTTAAGGAATCAAAACAGGTAAACGATTAAATAAAATTTCAAAGATCCGGATTATTTGATCAAGTCACCTTATCTCTTCTTATGATAAAACGCCAAATTTCCCAATGAAATACGAGTGAAATTCCGAGTAAATTCACTTTTGTGCCCCTTTTTTTTATATTTAAAATACGACCCAATTCCTTAGTGGACTTGACTTTTCAAAGGGTTCACCTACAAAAGTGGATAATCCAAGCATATTATCTATTTTCTTTCAACAATACTATATTCACCTCCTATTTTCGCACAATCGCAACACATATCTTCATACAATATTTATTGATTATCATAAATAGACTTCTTTTTTTTTGTATTAAGGGTCTAAGTGACGGTGTCTAAAATTAATAACACATTATTATATCACTAATTCATATTATTTTAAAGTATCGTCACAATAACATCTACGTAAGTTTCTTTAAATATTTTGTTTACATACAAAGGTGTTAGAGTGGATTTTCATGTTAAGCAACAACATAGGTAGCAAAATTAGTTATAACGATCATTTTATGACAATTGAATTTGAAAGTTCAACTATTATTAGATTGTAGTGTTAATGACAATATTGAAAAGACGTTAAAATGAACACGTGCTATATTATTATTGGTGTATGCAATGAAGTAAGAATACGAGATCCTGATCACTCTCGACCTAAGTATTTGATATTTTAAAAATACTTTTATAAATATCATCTCAAACTAAAGTACTTTAAAATGTGAACCTCGAGTTGGACTAAGTGTGACTTGGAGTATCATGTGTTCCCAGTCCGCACCTCCAACGGTCTCTCTCTCTCTCTTCTCCTCAACGATTCAACTTTCAAGCGCTCTCCCTCTCTTTCTCTTCCTATGGGACATGAATTCTCTTCGGATTCATTGGTCCTAATCCACAAAATCCTGTGATCTGGACCATTGAAATTTAATCTAACGACTAAAGTTTTTATAACTTTTAAAATAGATCTCTATTTATAGCAATTTAATCAAATTTCAATAATCCGAATTACGAAACTTTATAGAATAGGACCAATGGATCCAGAGGGAATCCATGTCCCTCCCTATGACTCTTTACACGAACTAACACTGGCCACGTCGCTTTCTCACCGTCATCCTCGCTGGGCTGTTCCGAACTCCCACAGGCCCAAATTCACAATTCGGGATCTCGAGCCCTCGGCCCTTTTCGGTTTAGGCTGTGGATCTTGACCCGAGAACCATTTTTCAACCCGACTAGCTCCGTTGCTCTTCGTTCCGAGGGTTACGGTCTCGGAATCGCCACCCTTGCTCCTCCCCGCGCTCAGATATCAGTTTCAGACTCGATTTGGGAGTTCTCGAGGAACAGACGACAGATAAAGCTCCTTTCTTTTTCAATAAATTATCCACCCAATCCAAAAACCAGCCACAAATTCAACCTCCACAACCCTAATCCCCATTCCCAATTCTCCTTACGTGACAAGATCCAATCACTCCAAGTTTAGATCTGGATTGCGATCCCTGTTCCGAGGGGCTGCAACTTTCTCGGGAAACAAACGGGTTTTCTGGATTAGATTGGGGGCTTCGGGTTTTCTGTTATGTGTATATTACTTCTCTACCTTTTGTGGTTTTTTTTTTTTTTTTGTTTTGTTTAGTTGGGTGTTTTACCTCTGTTTGGTTGCCTAGAAAATGTAGGAAACTGCGGGAAAATGGAGGGGATTGGAGTATGGGATGTTGGGGGTTTTGAGTAACCTGGGGAGCTGAGTTAAAAAAAAATGCTGAATTGGGTTATGAGTTTTTCAGTTTTGAGATTGGGAGCTTAAAACAACAGAAAGATGTAAGCTTTAGGATTCAATAGATTTGATTCTGTATGCTTGGGCTCGGTTCGATTACTTGGAGCTGTTTCAAAGTTTTCAGGTTATTCTGTATAAGAAGTGTATCATGACAAAAGTCATGTGGTCTTGAGATGCTGTTTGAAAACTTAATATATGTGTGCTTGTTTTCCTTCCGTAGAAGTTCAGGAATGATAGAGAATATGTGCTTGTTTTCCTTCCGCATAAGTTCGGGATTGATAGAGTTATGAAAGGCCTTAATATTACCGATGAAATCTTAATAAATCCTTGAAAGAAGTCTATACAGATCCATAAAAATATATAATAGAAATCCGTATAAATCTGCCAAAAGCTGTATAAAATTGTAGAGTCCATTAAAATCCTTTGATATCTGTCACCTGCAAAAAGTCCATTAAAATCTTCTGAAATCCAAGTTGACTACTCCCCCTTACTTGTCTGTTGAATTGAGATTTCAAAATACAGTTTTAAGCTAGCCGCTGAGCTTTTCATACGATATTGTTGTCTAACATTCTTATTAGATTTGATATGTCCCATTTTTTGTTGTAAGCAGGTAGAGTATCATGGTGGGATTTAAGAATAGGTATATGGTAGTGGAGGTTATCTTGGATCCTAATAGAGAACTGGTGAGAAAAGATCCTGTTATCATTACCTCGTACAATGTTATGAAAGCTATCCGAGACAGCATTCTAGTAAATTTTGGGGAGTGCGGTCTGGCTTCGTCACTTGGATCATTCCAAGGTAAGTAATGGCTCCCAGTAATTCTTGTTACCTTCTTTGTTTATGTGCATTTGCAATTAATTTTCTGTAAAATGGACTCTCTAAATTTCTCCGAATGTGTAATTTTATGCAGTCAAGTATGTTAATGACATTACGAGGCTGTGTATCGTTAGAGCTTCAAGGGATGAATATCAGCGAGTATGGGCTGCAACTACAATGGTCAGGAGTATTGCAGATTGCCCGGTTCTATTTAATTTGTTGGACCTAATTGGTGAGTTAAAGATTTGCAGCAGATTAAGTCTTGCGGCTTGCTGATATTTTTTGAAAATGCACAATACCTTATAATTAAGTTATCATTTTGACTCTTGAATTTAGTTATTGTTCTTGATTAAGAAATTAGAGTGCTTCCCCTTTAGTGGTGATTGGTAATCACAATTTCCTTAAAAGTAAGCAGAATTTCTTATAGTAAACATTGTTTGGAACTTCTTAAGAGATCACATTTTATCTCGTAGTGTTCATTTTTCCAGCTGATCGGAAGTTACCGTCATCTCAAAGACGCAACATAATTGTCTTCTTTCCCATCTGTTAAAGAAAATTAATTACCAATGATTTCTTTCATTTCTTTTGTATCAGGAAGTATCAAAGCTTGTAAAGAAACCGCATTGAAGTGTGATGAATCAAAATTTGAACAGCACAAGCTTGTTGTTGGATCTAATCTTTCGGCTCAAGATACTCAAAAAATGCAGTACTATCTTGACAAGATCAAAGGCCTCGAGCACTAAATTTCTACCGCACCTATGGTAATATACTGTATTCAGATGGCATTTTATGTCGCTTTTCCTTATCTATGAGCTATTACAGCTGTTATGTATTGGTTGTTTAATGGAGTATTGTTATCCTTAGATAACAACGTACTTCTCATGCTATAGACCACAATCAACAGTCGCCGAAACTCTTTAAAATGATGGAGTTGAACTATAGCTCTCAGTTTGGCGTAAAGTAGGCATAAAGTAGATATTCATGCCAAATTTTATTATCTAACGAGCAAACTCATTCTTGTCCAACATCTTGTAGGAATTTGGTGAGCCTGACAAGCTTCATGTCCTGGTTCCATCGGTACTTGATGTCCATTACTCTGCCGACTCTGTGGCTCGTGTGGAATTCTAAAGGTTAGAAAATCTCAAAAGAAAGGAAGCTTGCAGGAACTTCAAAATTTTTAACTGTAAGTAGTTGCGAAAAGGGTATGTAGATGTAAAATCAAGTTGTGGATTAGGCAGAGGAAGTATTTGATTTGGCTATCTAGTTATTTCGGAAATATGTTTTGTCAGGTTTGTATTGTTTACTAGTGAAGGGGGGAAGTTCGTGTATCGCACATACACGGTCAAACGCACGTACTCCCGGCGGTGTATAAGATACATCGGAGGCTGGGAGCTACCTGAATTTTCACAGTTTTGATGACTAGCAAGTAATAAATTCCATTGTGTCCAAAAATTCTTTCTTTCTTATACAGCAAGTAATTACTGTTTCATGTTTAAGGTATCTCTGTGCAAATTCCATTTTGATACCTTAGGGCTTTCTTTCCCAAGCATCAACGGTGTCATCGGGACCCGCCACAAAAGATAGTTAAATTGTATCACATCAGCCATGTGATTTGCCACATTTAACTGCGTGCTTTAGTGGTAAATGACACAAAGTTAGGTCCTAATTGGGCTTAGATTCTAGCATACAACCAAAGATATATTGTTAGGTGACGAGAGATAAAAGAGAGGGGGGGGGGGTTGGGGGAAGATATACCCACACTTGGGCAGTTGGCCCTGCCCGAATCTTGAGATTTTCGAGTGCTCGTGTATGGCATTTTTGGGTATGCTCCGAGTATGCTATGCACTGAGATTTTTGGCCGTGGTATCCTTGGTTAATGATGCAATGATCAAGATCTTAACATTTATAAATTCTGGTATATAAGATATCAGGAGCATAGTGGAATTTTCGTATGTATATATATGACATGAGCTTAATTTGTTCAAACCAATAGGCTCGAACTCAAAGTGGGTTAGTCCTGATTGACTGCTGCTTTGCAAGGACGATTAAAAAATAGAGCAGTAAATTCTCATTATTTTCACTGGGGCAGGTTTTTGGAGCTGGAAAATGATCTGTTCCTAACTTATAGATACCACATGTTCAAAGGATTCATCATTCGTGAATGTTCGTGCGAAGGGAGGAAAAGAATCTTGGGTCAAGGTGTGATGATGTCGCATGTTTGACTATCTAATATCAATACGCATATCGACATGCTGTAGATTATTGAGATTTTAATTATATTATTAACTATGTTGAAGTTTTAATAAGGGTTTGTTTGGAAAGTGTCTTTAAAATGACTGAAAATGTTTTTAATGAAAATGTTTTTAAAACCATTCTTTAGTAAGAATCCAAGTGGTTCATGAAAAAGCATTTGAAGTGTTTTCTGCAATAAGTACATTTCTAGTGTTTTTTTTCCTTTTAGAACCCAAAATCAATTTTACCAAAATCGCTTTTAATCATTTTAAAAGTACTTTCAAACGAGTCTTTACATGGTTGTACATCTGTCGACATGTTTGTCAATAGAAATCCAGGTGAGAAGAGAGGATAATGGACAATACTATTAGATAGTGCCTTTTAATAATGACGACGACTGTGCTGTTTCCCATTAATCCATTGACGTTGTCGGGTAATTGAATCAATGTGGCCAGCAAAAAGCCGGAAGGCAATTTGTTTTGCACTTGCTTAAGCAAGGGTGATAAAAAAAATTAAAATCAAAGACTAATTGGAAAATAGCACTCATTTTTCACTCATGTTTGGTGAGCCTAGTAGTGGGGTTGTTAGAAATCCTCGAACTTGATAAATTTGCACTTGATTGTGTTTCATAGTGATTTTTTTTTTTAGGAATTAACCATACGCAACATGGTTTATATGTCTCGTTACCTTTAAAGAATATTAATAATAAAAAAATATGCTAATTTGGATGGAATCGCAATATCGTGTGACACTGTTCTTATTTTCACGTCTAAATCACATTTTAAGCCTCATTTTATGTTATGCGTAACACCTCCTATATGATATAAGGATATTCTATGTTGAGTCTAAAAACACCATGCATTGATGGGTGGTGGGGGCTCATATTGACTATCATGAGGTATTTTCTTGTAGCCGGTATATTCATACGTTTTTTCTTGATTCATTCTTTCATGAATTGCTGAAAACGAAAAAAAGTTCATTAAAATTCCTATGTTGGGATTAAGTACTAAATCTATAAGTCAAAAGAAAAGATGGAGTTGTCCACACTCATTTCTACCTCTCACACATCATTCTTAATTTTCGGCCGTTGGATCAAACAAATTGAAGATCGGTGAATAAAAATTAATAAGAGAGTATGAGATAAAAAGAAGTAAGTGAATAGAAGAGAAATAACGCTAAATTATAATAGTAATGATAAAGTGCTGAAGTGAGGAGATATCTTGAATAGAGAAACCGATATCACGTCACGCGTGCGCCAAAAGTACATGCAAAGGGATTCTTGGCATGGACTTCTCCTACGCAAGAACTTCCGCCCGTTCGAGACCCACATGTTTGCCATAAAAACCCGCCTCGTTTTTCTCCTTTTCATACCAAAAAACCAGAGAGTCCACTCCCCTCACACAAACACAGCTCAACACAACAGAAACCCACACCCGTGCTACATTTGGACTCTCGCTCTCTCCTCCCTTGAACAATTTCAGAAGCAAAAGATCTCAGAAGAAGAAGAAGAAATGCAGCAAAGAGTTTTGGATTACGTTTTGGTGCCGGCAGGGCTGCTGGTAATGGTGGCATACCACCTATGGCTTCTCTATCGAATCCTGGCGCAGCCCAACAGCACCGTCATCGGAATCAATTCCATCAACCGCCGCTTCTGGGTTCACGCAATGATGGAGGTAAAACCAAAACCCAACAAAACCCATCAATCAAAATCATATCTTTCAATTTTTTTTTGTCTTCTTAATTGGTTCCTATTTATATTATGTTGTTGGAAAATGTTTTCTTGTGCACCAGTAATCTTGAAAATGTTGAAAGAAAGGTTTTTAACCAGTTGGTCAATTCAAGTTCGATTTTTTTTTCCTGTAAATTAGAATGGTTTATAGTATCGCCTTAATTGATTCCTATTCATATAATCACATGTAGCATGACAACGTACATTTTTTTACAATGAAAGTGATTTTCGTGCAAGCTTTTTCCCTTCATGCATCCCCATATTTAGTTTTTGACTTTTGAATTGAATACGGTAAAAGAAAATTAATGGATAAAAACAGTGCATATACGATTGAAAAATGATGTTCTCTAATGACCAATTTGCATTTGGGCATGCACGAAATGCAGGAAGCTCCAAAGCATGGTGTTCTTGCAGTGCAAACATTGAGAAACAACATAATGGCGTCGACCCTTTTGGCCTCGACCGCCATTACGCTCTGCTCTCTCATTGCCCTCTTGATGACCAGCGGCACCAAATACAGAGCAGCTTTATTTGTCTTTGGGGACCGAAGCGAGCTTGCATTTTCGATCAAGTTCTTCGCCATTTTGGTGTGTTTCCTGGTGGCTTTCCTCTTCAATGTGCAGTCCATAAGGTACTACAGCCACGCCAGCATTCTCATCAACGCACCGTGCAAGAAGATGTCGCCCCACCATCAGCACCACTACCTCACTACAGACTACGTTGCCACAACCGTGAACCGAGGCAGCTATTTCTGGTCCTTGGGACTCCGGGCGTTCTACTTCTCGTTCCCTTTGTTTCTATGGATTTTCGGGCCAATTCCGATGTTCGTGTCCTGCTTTGTTTTGGTCATCATGCTCTACTTCCTAGATGTCACCTTTCAGTTTGGTTGGGAGGTTGGGGTTGCTGACAACGATGATCACATCCTCATTAAGGACGATGAGGAACAAAGGTTGTCAAACTAGGTGGCACGATATTTCAAGTCAATCACGCATTGTCACGTTAGAAAGTTGGCGGAATACGATTAGCGGAGAATAGAAACTAGCTAGCTAGCAAGGTACATGTATTGAACCAAAAAGCGGTTCAGATTCAATACAAGTTGAACTGAACTGCAGCACAATAAGCTGATGGATGTAACAACACAATGAATAAAAGTAGAGTATTATGGAATGCTCAGCTGGTCTGTATTTTCATGCCACTTGTAAATTATAATGTTCATTTTACTGGATTTGTACGTAATGTATGCGTATGAAGGGAATGATTTTGTGTTGCTTGCTACCTCATTGTCTTTGGTCTCGTTTGAAAATGCTTTTAAAATAGCTGAAAACGTTTTTGGCGAAAATGTTTTCAGAACCAATCCTTAAAGTGCTTTTCCAGGATTCACTTTCATTTTACTAAGGATTGGTTCTAAAAAGGCTTTTGATGAAAATGTTTTCAGAATCAATCCCTAGTAAAATGCAAGTGAATCCTGGAAAAGCATTGCAAGTGCTTTTGGAATCCCAAAACATTTACTCCAAAAGCTATTTCAGTCAATTTAAAAACACTTCCAAGTTCCAAAGGAGTGCTTACTATGAAATTGGCTCAATGTTGTGCAAAGATTCTTTATGCAGTAAGATGCGATGGTTTCGTTTAAAAACATTTAAGTATTGTTCCATACGAATCAATATAATGTACACACAAAATTAACACATGTATTAGCGCATTTTAAATAGAGTTTGGCCCTGCACATTTTAAAATTTTATGTCTACAAACAGCCTTACCCGTGTTGATAATTTTTTTTGGCTAGGAACAGACGACAGATAAAGCTCCTTTCTTTTTCAATAAATTATCCACCCAATCCAAAAACCCGCCACAAATTCAACCACCACAACCCTAATCCCCATTCCCAATTCTCCTTACGTGACAAGATCCAATCACTCCAAGTTTAGATCTGGATTGCGATCCCTGTTCCGAGGGGCTGCAACTTTCTCGGGAAACAAACGGGTTTTCTGGATTAGATTGGGGGCTTCGGGTTTTCTGTTATGTGTATATTACTTCTCTACCTTTTGTGGTTTTTTTTTGTTTTGTTTTGTTTAGTTGGGTGTTTTACCTCTGTTTGGTTGCCTAGAAAATGTAGGAAACTGCGGGAAAATGGAGGGGATTGGAGTATGGGATGTTGGGGGTTTTGAGTAACCTGGGAGCTGAGTTAAAAAAAAATGCTGAATTGGGTTATGAGTTTTTCAGTTTTGAGATTGGGAGCTTAAAACAACAGAAAGATGTAAGCTTTAGGATTCAATAGATTTGATTCTGTATGCTTGGGCTCGGTTCGATTACTTGGAGCTGTTTCAAAGTTTTCAGGTTATTCTGTATAAGAAGTGTATCATGACAAAAGTCATGTGGTCTTGAGATGCTGTTTGAAAACTTAATATATGTGTGCTTGTTTTCCTTCCGTAGAAGTTCAGGAATGATAGAGAATATGTGCTTGTTTTCCTTCCGCATAAGTTCGGGATTGATAGAGTTATGAAAGGCCTTAATATTACCGATGAAATCTTAATAAATCCTTGAAAGAAGTCTATACAGATCCATAAAAATCTATAATAGAAATCCGTATAAATCTGTCAAAAGCTGTATAAAATTGTACAATAACAACAACAACAACAACAAAGCATTTTCCCACTAATTGGGGTCGGCTATATGAATCCTAGAACGCCATTGCGCTCGGTTTTGTGTCATGTCCTCCGTTAGATCCAAGTACTCAAGTCTTTTCTTAGGGTCTCTTCCAAAGTTTTCCTAGGTTTTCCTCTACCCCTTCGGCCTTGAACCTCTGTCCCGTAGTCATATTTTCGAACCGGAGCGTCAGTAAGCCTTCTTTGCACATGTCCAAACCACCGGAACCGATTTTCTCTCATATTTCCTTCAATTTCGGCTACTCTTACTTTACCTCGGATATCCTCATTCCCAATCTTATCCTTTCTCGTGTGCCCACACATCCCACGAAGCATCCTCATCTCCGCTACACCCATTTTGTGTACGTGTTGATGCTTCACCGCCCAACATTCTGTGCCATACAACATCGTTGGCCTTATTGCCGTCCTATAAAATTTTCCCTTGAGCTTCAGTGGCCTACGACAGTCACACAACACGCCGGATGCACTCTTATACTTCATCCATCCAACTTGTATTCTATGGTTGAGATCTCCATCTAATTCTCCGTTCTCTTGCAAGATAGATCCTATGTAGCGAAAACGGTCGCTTTTTGTGATCTTCGCTAGATTTCTCCGGTCATTAGTGTGGATAAGTATATAAATGGATAGAGATAGGAAAGCAAACACAAGATGTACGTGGTTCACCCAGATTAGCTACGTCCACGGAATAAAGGAGTTCTCATTAATTGTGAAGGGTTTACACAAGTACATAGGTTCAAGCTCTCCTTTAGTGAGTACAAGTGAATGATTTAGTACAAATGACATTAGGAAATATTGTGGGAGAATGATCTCGTAATCACGAAACTTCTAAGTACCGGAGTGTGGTATCGTCTTGACTTGCCTTATCTGTCTCATAGGTAGATGTGGCATCTTCTCTGGAAGTACTCTTCATCCATCCAGGGGTGGTATCTTTAACTGGTGGAGATGCACAAGGTAATGTATCAATTTCACTTGAAGCTTACTTGTAGTTTAAGGCTTGGTCAAGCGCGATACAAACCATGTAGTAGGAGTCCCCCAAGTCGCCGAGCTAAGGGATCTGCTGAAAGAGGTGACAGACAAGGTAAGCAATCAGAGCTCCGGCTGATTGTTCACATTCTCCCTATCTTGCAGGCAGCATGAAGGATAAAGAGAAGAAAAATGAGAAGAGATGAGATGGGATACTTTTGCTTTTGAAGAAGTAACTTTCCACAGGCTTATTCTTGAACTGGGCTGGAGGGTTTTCTGGTTTTCTCCAGAGAATAAGGCCGACTGAAGAATTTGAGGGTCAAAACAAGTCCATCAAATCTAGAGTACGTTCGACCCTGCTGATATGGGATACTTTTACTTTTGACAGAGTAGTGGATGTATCGGCACGTGTGCTGTTACGCTTGTCTCCACATGCTTCCTTGTATCCTTCTCACTTGCCCTATCTATTCCTCAGGCAGATGCGGTATCTTCCCTGGAAGCATAAGATGTTGTGAGTACTCGAGAGCAATGCCAGGTAAGTAATCAGGTAAGGGGTTCCAGGCAGTCAGTTTCTGGCTGGAAGCTTGATTCCAAGTGCTGACTGATTGCTCTCTTTCTCCTTGTCTTGCAGGTAAGAACAAGGCCAAAGGAAAAGACAGGGAAAAAACATGATATGGGATACTCTTGCTTTTAACCCTGATGATATGAGATATTCTTGCTCTAGTATAGCTTGTTTGCAGAGGTATTATCGGGGGGAAAGAAAGCTGAATATTTCGAAAGGCTTCGTTGGGAGTGCCTTCTCATATAAGAGGAAGGGTTGACCATTTTTGCAGGTCTGCCTGTCTGTTGGGGATGGAGGTCGACATATATAGGAGTTTCCCAAACATCAAGTAATAATGTTATTCCTTTACCCTGCTTGGTCATAGCATGGTAGTGGGAGCTGCCAGCTTCACATGTTTTAACTCTGTCAGAGCACTTTAAAAAAGTGGTCTGTGGTATTTGGAAAGCTGATGTTGCGTGTGAAGATTACAGACAAGCTTTATCCAAAGAGATCCAGCTCTTGAAGTTGGGAAAGTGGTGCCTCTTCGATTTTCGAACAAGCAATCTTGTCGGGGATCTGGCTCTCGAGATTCGGAGAACGATGCCTCTTCGATTTTTGAGAAAGCAATCCTGCTGGGGGTCTGGCTTTCGAGATTCGGAAAGCGGTGTCTCTTCGATTTTTGAGAAAGTAATCATGTTGGGAGTCTGGCTCTCGAGATTCGGAGGGCGGTGCCTCTTCGATTTTGGAGCAAGCAATCTTGTTGGGAGTGTTTTCTCGAATGTGAGTAAATGTTGGGCATGTTTGCTAGTCTACCTTGCCACGAAGCACAGAGGTTGACACACTGGGACTTTCCAATTATCCAGCAGTGGTACTATTCCTTTACCCTTGTGGGTAATAATATGGTAGCTAGACCTTCAAAATTTATGTGTCTAAACTTTGTTAGTGTTGTTTCTTTGCTATTCTTTTACCCTTCTTGGTCAGAGCGATGTAGTGGGAGCTGCAAGCTTCACGTGTCTCAACTTTGTCAGAGAACTTTGGCAAAGTTATCTGTGGTACCCATGAGCTACTGTTGCGTGTGGGAAGTGGGTGATTGAATAGTACGATTCATGTGCTTTCTACTTCACCAGAAATCTTCGACAGAATGCCCATAATTTCCATAAAGCTGAGTGTGCGTGTGACAGGTGCTGACAAGGCTGGAAAAGTAGGTGCCTCTTCGATTTCTGAGATCGGCCCTCGTGGTCTCTGAGCAGCCCAGCTTTTGAGAAAGCAAGCCTCTTCGATTTCTGAGATCGGCCTTCGTGGTCTTTGAGCAGCCCAACTTTTGAGAAAGCAAACGTCTCTTCGATTTCTGAGATCGACCCTCGTGGTCTCTGAGCAGCCCAGCTTTTGAGAAAGCAAACGCCTCTTCGATTTCTGAGCAGGCGCCTCTTCGATTTCTGAAGCTTCGTCGAGTGCAGATTTTTATAGGGGCTGGCATTAAGTTCCAAAGCACACTTGAATCTCCACCAGTAGAAGCTCCATTCTTGCACTTCTAAGATCTTGATTTTTCCGACCTCTTCTCTCTTCAACACCTTTGAAAATGTCTGGCCCCTCCGACCGTCGTTTTAACTTGAACCTTGTTGAAGAAGCAGCCCCGCCTTCTCCAGACAACATATGGCGCCCATCATTCGTCTCCCTTACTGGTCCTCTTACCGTTGGGGATTCCGTGATGAAGAATGATATGACCGCTGCGGTAGTGGCCAGGAACCTTCTCACTCCCAAAGATAACAGACTACTTTCCAAACGGTCTGATGAGTTGGCTGTTAAGGATTCTCTGGCTCTCAGTGTTCAGTGTGCAGGTTCTGTGTCTAATATGGCCCAACGCCTATTTGCTCGAACCTGCCAAGTTGAATCATTGGCGGCTGAAGTGATGAGTCTCAAACAGGAGATTAGAGGGCTCAAGCATGAGAATAAACAGTTGCACCGGCTCGCACATGACTATGCTACAAACATGAAGAGGAAGCTTGACCAGATGAAGGAATCTGATGGTCAGGTTTTACTTGATCATCAGAGATTTGTGGGTTTGTTCCAAAGGCATTTATTGCCTTCGTCTTCTGGGGCTGTACCGCGTAATGAAGCTCCAAATGATCAACCTCTGATGCCTCATCCTTCTAGGGTTCTGTCCAGTACTGAGGCTCCGAATGATCCCCCCTCCGGTGCCATCTCTTTCTGGGGCTCTACCGACTGATGAGACTTCTCCTAAGCAACATTTGTGAAGGCTCCCTCTTGTTTGTTTATTTTGACTTATGTATATGTACATATTTGTACCTTATCGGGGATATCAATAAATAAGCTTTCCTTCATTTCAACGTATTGTGTTAAATACACCAAAGCCTTCTTCGCTAAGTTCTTTGAATTTTCTTTTGTTGAAGCTTGTATGTTGAAGCTTTGTGAGTGGAGCATGTAGGTTGAGGTAGTGTTCCCTTAATTTCCCGAGTGAGGAAAACTTCTTGGTTGGAGACTTGGAAAATCCAAGTCACTCAGTGGGATCGGCTATATGAATCTTAGAACGCCATTGTGTTCTGTCCTGTGTCATGTCCTCCGTTAGATTCAAGTACTCTAGGTCTTTTCTTAGGGTCTCTTCCAAAGTTTTCCTAGGTCTTCCTCTACCCCTTCGGCCCTGAACCTCTGTCCCATAGTCGCATCTTCTAATCGGAGCGTCAGTAGGCCTTCTTTGCACATGTCCAAACCACCGTAACCGATTTTCTCTCATCTTTCCTTCAATTTCGGCTACTCCTACTTTACCCCGGATATCCTCATTCCTAATCTTATCCTTTCTTGTGTGCCCACACATCCAACGAAGCATCCTCATCTCCGCTACACCCATTTTGTGTACGTGTTGATGCTTCACCGCCCAACATTCTGTGCCATACAGCATCGCCGACCTTATTGTTGTCCTATAAAATTTTCCCTTGAGCTTCAGTGGCATACGGCGGTCACACAACACGCCGGATGCACTCTTCCACTTCATCCGTATAAAATTGTAGAGTCCATTAAAATCCTTTGATATCTGTCACCTGCAAAAAGTCCATTAAAATCTTCTGAAATCCAAGTTGACTACTCCCCCTTACTTGTCTGTTGAATTGAGATTTCAAAATACAGTTTTAAGCTAGCCGCTGAGCTTTTCATACGATATTGTTGTCTAACATTCTTATTAGATTTGATATGTCCCATTTTTTTGTTGTAAGCAGGTAGAGTATCATGGTGGGATTTAAGAATAGGTATATGGTAGTGGAGGTTATCTTGGATCCTAATAGAGAACTGGTGAGAAAAGATCCTGTTATCATTACCTCTTACAATGTTATGAAAGCTATCCGAGACAGCATTCTAGTAAATTTTGGGGAGTGCGGTCTGGCTTCGTCACTTGGATCATTCCAAGGTAAGTAATGGCTCCCAGTAATTCTTGTTTCCTTCTTTGTTTATGCGCATTTGCAATTAATTTTCTGTAAAATGGACTCTCTCAATTTCTCCGAACGTGTAATTTTATGCAGTCAAGTATGTGAATGACATGACGAGGCTGTGTATCATTAGAGCTTCAAGGGATGAATATCAGAGAGTATGGGCTGCAACTACCATGGTCAGGAGTATTGCAGATTGCCCGGTTCTATTTAATTTGTTGGACCTAAGTGGTGAGTTAAAGATTTGCAGCAGATTAAGTCTTGCGGCTTGCTGATATTTTTCGAAAATGCACAATACCTTACAATTAAGTTATCATTTTGACTCTTGAATTTAGTTACTGTTCATGATTAAGAAATTAGAGTGCTTCCGCTTTAGTAGTGATTGGTAATCACAATTTCCTTAAAAGTAAGCAGAATTTCTTAGGGAATTATTTTGGCACTCCAAAAATTTCGTTTTGCACTCCAAACTTTCTATAATTAGAAAGAAAAATACACTTATGAGGAGTGTTGAATGAGATTTTTGGAGTGCTAATAATAGTTCCCATTTCTTATAGTAAACATTGTTTGGAACTTCTTAAGAGGTCACATTTTATCTCGTAGTGTTCATTTTTTCAGCTGATCGGAAGTTATACCGTCATCTCAAAGACACAACATAATTGTCTTCTTTCCCATCTGTTAAAGAAAGTTAATTACCAATGATTTCTTTCATTTCTTTTGTATCAGGAAGTATCAAAGCTTGTAATGAAACCGCATTGAAGTGTGATGAATCAAAATTTGAACAGTACAAGCTTGTTGTTGGATCTAATCTTTCGGCTCAAGATACTCAAAAAATGCAGTACTATCTTGACAAGATCAAAGGCCTCGAGCACTAAAGTTATACCGCACCTATGGTAATACACTGTATTCAGATGGCATTTTATGCGCTTTTCCTTATCTATGAGCTATTACAGCTGTTATGTATTGGTTGTTTAATGGAGTATTGTTATCATTAGATAACAATGTACTTCTCGTGCTATAGACCAGAATCAACAGTCGCCGAAACTCTTTAAAACGATGGAGTTGAATGTAGCTCTTTCAGTTTGGCGTAAAGTAGGCATAAAGTAGATATTCATGCCAAATTTATTATCTAACGAGCAAACTCATTCTTGTCCAACATCTTGTAGGAATTTGGTGAGCCTCACAAGCTTCATGTCCTGGTTCCATCGGTACTTGATGATCATTACTCCGCTGACTCCGTGGCTCGTGTGTCTAAAGGTTAGAAAATCTCAAAAGAAGGGAAGCTTGCAGGAACTTCAAATTTTCTAACTGTAAGTAGTTGCGAAAAGGGTATGTAGATGTAAAATCAAGTGGTGGATTAGGCAGAGGAAGTATTTGATTTGGCTATCTAGTTATTTCGGAAATATGTTTTGTCAGGTTAGTTTGTATTGTTTACTGGTGAAGGGGGGAGGTTCGTGTATCGCACTTACACGGTTTTTGTTTTGGTCAAACGCACGTACTCCCGGCGGCGTATAAGATACATCGGAGGCTGGGAGCATACCAGAATTTTCACAGTTTTGGTGACTAGCAAGTAACAAATTCCGTTGTGGCAAAAAATTATTTCTTTCTTATACAGCAAGTACTTACTGTTTCATGTTTAAGGTATCTCTGTGTAAATTCCGTTTTGATACCTTAGGGCTTTCTTTCCCAAGCATCAACGATGTCATCGGGACCCGCCACAAAAGATATTAAATGGTATCAGATCAGCCATGTGATTTCCTACATTTAACTGCGTGCTTTAGTGGTAAGTGACACAAGGTTAGGACCTAATTGGATGCAGATTCTAGCATACAACCGAAGATATATTGTTAGGTGACGAGATTTTCGAGTGCTTGTGTATGGCATTTTTGGGTATACTCCGAGTATGCTATACATTGAGATTTTTGGCCGTGGTATCCTTGATTAATGATCCAATGATCAAGATCTTAACGCTTATAAATTCCGGTATATAAGATATCAGGAGCATAGAGGAATTTTACCAATAGGCTCGAACTCAAAGCGGGTTAGTCCTGATTGACTGCTGCTTTGCAAAGACGATTAAAAAATAGAGCACTAAATTTTCATTATTTTCACGGGGGCAGGTTTTTGGATACCGCATGTTCAAAGAATTCATCATTCGTGAATGTTCGTGTGAAGGGAGGAAGAGAATCTTGGGTCAAGGCTACGATGATGTCGCCTGTTCAAAGAATTCATCATTCGTGAATGTTCGTGTGAAGGGAGGAAGAGAATCTTGGGTCAAGGCTTCGTGAATGTTCGTGTGAAGGGAGGAAGAGAATCTTGGGTCAAGGCTACGATGATGTTGCCTGTTCAAAGAATTCATCATTCGTGAATGTTCGTGTGAAGGGAGAAAGAGAATCTTGGGTCAAGGCTACGATGATGTCGCATGTTGGACTATTCAATATCAATAAGCATATCGACGTGATGTAGATTATTGACATTTCATTTATATTATCAACTATGTCGACGTTTTAATAAGGGTTTGTTTGTAGTGTCTTTAAAATTACTGAAAATATTTTTTGTGAAAATGTTTTTAAAACCATTCTTTAATAAGGTTTCGTTTGATAAATTTGCACTTGATTGTGTTTCATAGTGAATTTTTTTCACGTATTATATTAGGAAATAAGAATATGCAACATGATTGGTATGTCTCGTTACTTTTAAAGAATATTAATAATAAAAAAAGTGTGCTAATTTGGATGGAATCGCAATATCGTGTGACACTGTTCCTATTTTCTCGTCTAAATCACATTTTAAGCCTCATTTTATGTCATTTGTAACATCTCCTATATGATATAAGTATATTCTATGTTGGGATTAAGTACTAAATGTATAAGTAGAAAGAAAGGATGAAGCTGTCCACACTCATTTCTACCTCTCACACATCACTTTCAATTATCGGCCGTCGGATCAAACAAATTGAAGATCGGTGAATAGAAATTAACAAGAATGGGTAGGAGGTAAAAAGAAGTAAGTGAATAGCACTACCGAAAAGAAATAGCGCTAAATTATAATACTAATGATAAAGTGCAGAAGCTTTGAGGAGATATCTTGAATAGAGAAGCCGATATCACGTCACGTACATGCAAAGGGATTCTTGGCATGGACTTCTCCTACGCAAGAACTTCCGCCCGTTCAAGACCGGCATGTTTGCAATAAAAACCCGCCTCGTTTTTCTCCTTTTCGTACCAAAAAACCAGAGAGTCCACTCCACACACACAAACACAGCTCAACACAACAGAACCCACACCCGTGTTACACTTGGACTCTCTCTCTCCTCCCTTGAACAATTTCAGAAGCAAAAGATCTCAGAAGAAGAAGAAGAAATGCAGCAAAGAGTTTTGGATTACGTTTTGGTGCCGGCAGGGCTGCTGGTAATGGTGGCATACCACCTATGGCTTCTCTATCGAATCCTGACGCAGCCCAACAGCACCGTCATCGGAATCAATTCCATCAACCGCCGCTTCTGGGTTCACGCAATGATGGAGGTAAAACCAAAACCCAACAAAACCCATCAATCAAAATCATATCTTTCAATTTTTTTTATCTTCTTAATTGGTTCCTATTCATATTATCTTGCATGAGTGAATTTTTATGTTGTTGGAAAATGTTGAAAGAAAGGTTTTTAACCAGTTGGTCGGCCGTCTTGTATTCAAGGTCTAAAATATCGATATTATCCCGATATTTCTATTGAAATTTTCGTATTTTTGGACTACCGTATTTCCGCTATTATCGATATTTTAGACCTTGATAGGAACTCTATGTGGTACCAAGTCACTCATGTATCTTACCACACAATGTATAAAATGTAAAATATTATACTAATTCATTATATATAAATGATTATGGTGTGTTTAAACTTCTTTCATTAATTACTACATATTTTCTACACTCACAATGTTTGCCAGCTCGCTATATAATCAACTTAAATCAGTTAAATCCATCATGCAATGCATTTCCTTCCAATTTTTTGTGATAAACTAATAAATAATTGACTAAATAAACATCTTGCAAAGTTTCAATAAAAATTTCAAAGTTTACATGAATGGGTACATATAATTAGCATGGGTACATTTAGCAAAATAAAAAGTACAAAAAAAAAAAAAAATATATATATATATATATATATGGGTACAAATACAACTTTAAAAAATATGGGCACAAAAAGAAATTAATATATGGGTACAAATTAAAATTGAAAAGAAAATTGGTACAAGTTAAAAAAAGAATTACAAATTAAAAATGGATACAAACTAAAACTAAAAATATATGATAAAAAATTTAGTCATAAATATAAATATACTAATTGTAACATTTTTAACATTAAATGAATATATTTAGAAATAAAAAAAACATTTTATTATTGAAATAATTAATGATGTTATTAATACACAAGGACCTTGATAAAAAATGAAAAAGGAATAAGATTTTAATCAATGAACTAGCAAAAAAGAAGGATGAACCTAATTTTTTCTTTAGTTTTTTACTTTTGAATTGAATACGATAAAAGAAAATTAATGGATAAAAACAGTGCATATACGATTGAAAAAAATGATGTTCTCTAATGACCAATTTGCATTTGGGCATGCACGAAATGCAGGAAGCTCCAAAGCATGGTGTTCTTGCGGTGCAAACATTGAGAAACAACATAATGGCGTCGACCCTTTTGGCCTCGACCGCCATTACGCTCTGCTCTCTCACTGCCCTCTTGATGAACAGCGGCACCAAATACAGAGCAGCTTTATTTGTCTTTGGGGACCGAAGCGAGATTGCATTTGCGATCAAGTTCTTCGCCATTTTGGTGTGTTTCCTGGTGGCTTTCCTCTTCAATGTGCAGTCCATAAGGTACTACAGCCACGCCAGCATTCTCATCAACGCACCATGCAAGAGGATGTCGCCGCACCATCAGCACCACTACCTCACTACAGACTACGTTGCCACCACCGTGAACCGAGGCAGCTATTTCTGGTCCTTGGGACTCCGGGCGTTCTACTTCTCGTTCCCTTTGTTTCTATGGATTTTCGGGCCAATTCCGATGTTCGTGTCCTGCTTTGTTTTGGTCATCACGCTCTACTTCCTAGATGTCAGCTTTCAGTTTGGTTGGGAGGTTGGGGTTGCTGACAACGATGAGGAACAAAGGTTGCCAAACTAGCTGGCACGACATTTCAAGTCAATCAGGCATTGTCACATTAGAAAGTTGACGGAATATAATTAGTGGAGAATGGAAACTAGCTGGCTAGCAAGGTACAAGTATTGAACCAAAAAGCGGTTCAGATTCAATACAAGTTGAACTGAACTGCAGCACAATAAGTTGATGGATGTAACAACACAATGAACAAAAGTAGAGTATTATGGAATGCTCAGCTGGTCTGTATTTTCATGCCACTTGTAAATTATAATGTTCACTGTACTGGATTTGTATGTAATGTATGCTTATGAGGGGAATAATTTTGTGTTGCTTGCTACCTCATTGTCTTAGGTCTCGTTTGAAAGTGTTTTTAAAATAGCTGAAAACGCTTTTGGTGAAAATGTTTTCAGAACCAATCCTTGAAGTGTTTTTCCAGGATTCACTTTCATTTTACTAAGGATTGGTTCTGAAAAGGCTTTTGATGAAAATGTTTTCAAACCAATCCTTAGTAAAATGCAAGTGAATCATGTAAAAGCATTTCAAGTGCTTTTGGAACCCCAAAACATTTACTCCAAAAACTCTTTCAGTCAATTTAAAAGCACTTCCAAGTTCCAAACGAGTTCTTACTATGAAATTGGCTCAATGTTGTGCAAAGATTCTTTATGCAGTAAGATGCGATGGTTTCGTTTAAAAACATTTAAGTATTGTTCCATACGAATCAATATAATGTACACACAAAATTAACACATGTTGTTTGGACCCAATTTTACATCATCTGTCCGAGTAATCAAGGCCGTTGAGTAGGCATACTTCTACACTGTCGATCGAAAAATGAAGATATTTTTGTTATTGTTAAAGGATAATATTATGATTTTTGTCATATTAATTATCTTTTAATTATCTGATCATTATATCTTCAAACATGGACAATTCGAGTAAACTTGGGATTCCTGCTATCAGATTGGAGAAGCATGGTGGGTAAGGTTTGGAAGGTTAAGGTGCATGGATGGGATGAAATTATGAGGGGATTAATGCAAGCAATGGGATACCAAGATACGGAATGCATCCATATGGGTTTTTGAGTAAAACACAATTAAAAATTAATTTGATACTCATGGGGTCAGGATGCATGCGACATTTTTGGGAAATGATGACAAGCCTAGGTGGGCTAGGCAATGATGATAAGAAGACTTTTATTTGGATAGGTTTTTATGAGGTTTAGAAAATCACAAAAGTCTA